GTATCGAAAATTGCTCCAAGATAAAAACGAATTAGAAATGACTTGCAACCTCCACCTCAATAACTTTCCACCTTTTCTTTCGCCTTTGCCTCCGTCGTGTCAAAATGATTTACTGCTTGTAAAACTTTAGTTAAGACTTCACTAAAGACTTCGGTGAAGACTTAATTTAATTTAATTTAAGAACTTCTAGAGCGCTATTTTCATTCAATGATCAACAGCGCTTAACAACTTAGAATACTACAGTAAATTCAAATTAAAGACTTCAGCTCTATTTGGTCAAATTCGATTGGTTAGGAAGATTAAGCGGCTATTTTCGATTTGTTTGTTGTTGTTGTAGTACTTACTTAGGGTAGTCTGGATTGTAAAATGGTGGCTGCAAAATGGCCGCCAAGAACACTGAAACATATAACCAAAGAATCAAATAACCACGTTGTATTTTAATAGCTTACAAATACCTTCATGATGCATTGTTAGGACCGATGTTGTCTTTAAAGGGTTTATTCTAATTCCACAACCATTTCATCTGCAAAAGCTTACACACTAAACCTTACAAACAAAAACAAACCTTGTGCCCGAACATCCGGGTAACTAAAATGAAAGAGTTTCGGTGTTTTGTTCATGTCACAAACTTTAGGTGTTCATTCAGTGTGTAATAATATTTTAAATTTTTTGCAGCGGTGACAACCGAAGTTCGTCCAATCGGGTAGAGAAGGACCTTAATATGTAACTTCCTCTTTTTTTGTTTTGTTTATTTGTTAATTATGCTTTTTTCCGTGAGGCTTACCAATGCGGTTTTGTCTTGGCGAGTAGTAACCATTCACTTGCGAGGGGCCTAGGAACCACCTTTCGGGAATCAAAGAGAGACAAACCGTTTAAGATCCAAATACTTATAGGGAATTTATCTTTTGGGTCAATTCCACGCAAGGAATACAAACTTTGGGCCATTTGAAGAAATGTTTGTACAACGTTTGCATCTATTACCTTCATTGAAGGGTCACTTTTTCCAGACTCAGTGGTGTACCTTAGGTGGAGGTTCCACTTAAGAGGCTGTCCACGAGAAAACCATGCAAACCATGCAGAAGGTGCTACAGGCTAGATCACAGAATTGGATTATATTCTGTGTGTAAGTATACTTGGGTGCACTATTTTCAAATATGTAATGATTGGGGTCCAAGCTCCTTTTCTTTGTGTATACGAGGGGGGGTCCCCTCGGGAGATCATTTTTACTGTTATAGAAGGCCGAAATTTCCTGAAGTTTAGATGTCTCGGTCATCAATAATTTACGACATGAGTGATAAATGAGTAGCCGGCGGTCTAACTGAATGATTTAACTTCGAATACACGTATAAACCAGAAAGATTGAGGCTTCTTACTTCTCGTGATCGTGTATTAACCGAAGGACAGTTCAACGTTTTTCTGGAAGCTAGAAAAATATTGCATTTTTAAAATTATTTCTAAAATTTCTCGCAAACCTTACAAAAAATCCAATATAGGTTCTGTTAAGAGAATAACCTAGAGTTTTGTTGTACGCTTTCAAAAGTCTGGGTATTGTGAAATTATGGACACGTCAGCCTCGGAACTATGACAAAATATGAGCCCATACAATCGTTTTATTAAAAATTGCCAAAAATTATACGGAACAGGATACTTAATTGATCGCTCAAAAACACAACAACACACTTGAAAAACATACCTCTGTGGCCGAGAAAGGCTAAAGGCAATAATTTTCCCGCTGTGATCCCAGTGAAAAATCTTCTCTCTTCGACGAAATGACGTTACTTCGTCGTGTAGCTCGATAAGTCATAACCTGTCTCGTTAATATTTTACCGCTATTAGAACGATCAAAAGTAACTTTCATTTCCAAAAATGCTATTTCTTTTGTTTGAAGGACGGAAAAGATCTTTTTCGAGTGTCTTCAGGCGTCTTATAATGCGATAGAAACTAGGACTTACAAACATGTATTGATAGTATTCTACTTACCACCATCTTTGCTTCGAGCCCGCGAACCAAAAGGTCTGCGATTTTTCCCTATATAGATTGCTTTGGCGGGAAAGCGCGAAAGTTCAGTACAGCTGTAAAAACATTTGAATTCATCCACGAAGTTGCTAATCTATAATGTAGACAGATTTGACTCCGTTATTTATAGTTTTCCAGACACTTTGACATTAAAAAAAGGAGTAGATGTGAGCCGAAAGTGAGTTATTTTGGATCGTTTTTTACGCTGTTAATATTTTGTATTGTAGAGGATTTTATAGATATTATTATTATTATCATTATTATTATTATTTATTCTTATTATTATTACAATATTTCAAAAAATATGTACTGCCCGCAGTTAGCAAAGGCTACTCGAGGCGGGCGGTGTTTAATACGTATATTATAAAATAATAAAAGATTTACAGAGCAAGAGATTCAAAATTCTAGACAAAGTACACCTACATTAATACATTTAAGATATGGCAAGAGAACAGAACAAGCTGGGGTCTTATGGTTTTGCCAATCATATCATCGTATCCATATGACAGAAAAATAGAATAATCAAATATCAAAAAAATACAAAAGAGGGCAACTAATTCGGTCGAACATTCTCGGGAAATGTTTTTCTTCTAGTCAACGGTTCTCTAGACGAATTTTAAATTCCTTGTTGATATCATGCTAATACAAAGTTGTCGCATTTCTTTCGTCATTACTGAGCAGACAATCAACTATTCTTATTTGTAAAAGGTGTGGTAAAACTGTAATACTGGGATGAGCTTTCTGAGATTTTTTACCGTTTCCTTGCTTTTTTCGTCGAATGCTACGTCCACGAACAGCAGGCCCAGCGGCATTCCAAATATTGACTGCATTCCGTTAATGCAATCTTTCCAGCGGTATCTGGTTTTCTTTCCTGACATGGCGGTCACATACTCATCCCGTGCCTCCCTGTATTTTTGCGGCATCACTCTGATAAAGTTATTGATAACAGTCCAGATGATGTAATTGACAACAATCAAGGGGTCCCTGCATGCAAATTAAAATGATGAAGGAAATCAGTTTAAGCAAATGTGTTTTTCCCGTAAAGAGTCACCAAAAGAATCACATAAAATCTCTCAAGTCACATTCAGTTCGAATTAATTTAACTTTGCCAAGAAAATATATTCTCCCTATGTTCGACGAAATCAAGAACGCTGACAAACGATCTCTTATTTGAATTAAATAATATAGACTCCTATAATGTTATTTTAAATATTATCAACAAAACAAACTTTTTGGTTTGGGCGGGTCTTCGACGTGCTATACCGTCCCACTTAAAAACAAACACTAACCCCATGTTGGAAATCTCTCACTCTTTGATGATCAACAACAAGGTCTTTGATGTTTTGGAAAAGACATCAAAACATTATTACACTCTGNTGATTTCCACTATTGCTCAAATAGTGCTTTACTGCGAAGGATCGTTCTTATATACGTCTCATAACCGCAGTTCACTCATATGTTTCATATGTTTGTTGTTGTTCGATTTATCATCTACGGGTTTATATCGAATTAATTTGATGGCCTGCTCCCAGTTGGCTTGTTAGCTCAATTGGTAGAGCGCTGCACTAGTATCGCAGAGGTCAGTGGTTCGAATCCCGTACAGGCCTGAAATTTTTTTCAGGTCTGATTTCCACTATTGCTCAAATAGTGCTTTACTGCGAAGGATCGTTCTTATATACGTCTCATAACCGCAGTTCACTCATATGTTTCATATGTTTGTTGTTGTTCGATTTATCATCTACGGGTTTATATCGAATTAATTTGATGGCCTGCTCCCAGTTGGCTTGTTAGCTCAATTGGTAGAGCGCTGCACTAGTATCGCAGAGGTCAGTGGTTCGAATCCCGTACAGGCCTGAAATTTTTTTCAGGTCTGATTTCCACTATTGCTCAAATAGTGCTTTACTGCGAAGGATCGTTCTTATACACGTCTCATAACCGCAGTTCACTCATATGTTTCATATGTTTGTTGTTGTTCGATTTATCATCTACGGGTTTATATCGAATTAATTTGATGGCCTGCTCCCAGTTGGCTTGTTAGCTCAATTGGTAGAGCGCTGCACTAGTATCGCAGAGGTCAGTGGTTCGAATCCCGTACAGGCCTGAAATTTTTTTCAGGTCTGATTTCCACTATTGCTCAAATAGTGCTTTACTGCGAAGGATCGTTCTTATATACGTCTCATAACCGCAGTTCACTCATATGTTTCATATGTTTGTTGTTGTTCGATTTATCATCTACGGGTTTATATCGAATTAATTTGATGGCCTGCTCCCAGTTGGCTTGTTAGCTCAATTGGTAGAGCGCTGCACTAGTATCGCAGAGGTCAGTGGTTCGAATCCCGTACAGGCCTGAAATTTTTTTCAGGTCTGATTTCCACTATTGCTCAAATAGTGCTTTACTGCGAAGGATCGTTCTTATATACGTCTCATAACCGCAGTTCACTCATATGTTTCATATGTTTGTTGTTGTTCGATTTATCATCTACGGGTTTATATCGAATTAATTTGATGGCCTGCTCCCAGTTGGCTTGTTAGCTCAATTGGTAGAGCGCTGCACTAGTATCGCAGAGGTCAGTGGTTCGAATCCCGTACAGGCCTGAAATTTTTTTCAGGTCTGATTTCCACTATTGCTCAAATAGTGCTTTACTGCGAAGGATCGTTCTTATACACGTCTCATAACCGCAGTTCACTCATATGTTTCATATGTTTGTTGTTGTTCAATAATACTTTAGATAAATTTAATAAAAAGTGGCTAATAAATAAGTAACTGGTTAAGCTAATTGCAATACTAGAAGTAGTAATATCTGTGTTACTATTTTATAGTATAGTGTATTATAATACTGTAAAACTAGTAACAGTGGCACTTAGTAGTGATAGTAGTAATAGGAGAATGTAATGATAGTGGTGTAAGCTTTGAACTGTTTTGTAAGTAGTGTAAACCGTTGTTATCCTGTAAATAATGTGAGTAGTCGTATTGTACTGTAAATTACGTAAGTGACTGTATTTGTAATTTGTAAGTTTGTGAATCAAATAAAATAAAAATAAAAAAAAAGAACGCTGACATTTCGACGTCTATACCAGCTGTGAACGAGTTCCATCCTTATACGCCGACGTCTTAGTGGGAGTGCAAATAGCGATAGCTCGCCGGTCTGCCATGGTTTAATATTCCAAAACCAGGCTTAATATTTTACTAGTACAACATTGAGTGCTCATCCATCACGTTATAAGTTATCACACATCAAACCGCTGGAAAAGTTCGGCCGCAAAGTTAGCCGCGTGAACTTGACTGCCCTTTTGATATACCGTGATGCAATTCAGTTAACCTTTTCAATCTACAACTTAACACAGCTTTTAATAATACGTAGTTCAATTTGGCTGAAATGTAAGTCATTAAGATGATTGATTCGTATTTGATGGACGGCTATTGAAAAAGCTTCGTTGGTGGTTAACATTAAAGTTACCACATCCGACCACGTAACCTGAAACTTAGCTTCTGAGGAAGCTCGTGTTTTTTTCTTCGTCCTTCGCGCGTGACAACTCAACCACATTTCTCTTCATATTACGACTGCGCTCAAAGTGGACTATCTTTCTTATTTCGTCCCAAAAAAGTTTGTTATCCTTGAGTAAGCCACCCGCAAGCCTTCCCACGAGTCTTCTTATCGCAATTTTCGGCTACCCAGTTGACAGAAAAGTTAATTACATGAAGTAAAATGACCATCACATGTAAAAAAAGATACTTTAATTAATCCAACATGGACATAATTTCCGTTTCGCGGTTTTCTAAATGATATAACAAATGCTAAACAAAATAAAATCACAAACACTTACGTTCTTGTCCTATTCTCGTAAAACTTGAAAAGATTGGCGTAAATATCTCTGGGATAAGCGAGAATTTTCTCGTCTTTCTTGAATTTCCGACCCTGTTTTTTAAAAACTGCATTTACCAAGTCCACAAGGTTTTCGAGCTGAATAACAAGTGAAAGAAACAGAAAGAAATTCAAACGAGGAACTGAAAAAAATCTTCATTCAACAGAAAGTCGGACATGGGCTCTGGCGCTATGTATGCTCTGGCGCTACTTCACGCCTCCGTGCTCACGCGCAACCGCTCGCGCGTAGCGGGCAACGCGCGCGAGTGATTTGAATCTCTTTCCAGGCTTTCGAGCAGATGCTATTTTTCGACAAGGAAGGCTGGAAAACGACAAGGAAGGCTGGAAAACGTTTTAAGAAATAACAAAAAATATACATTTAACAAAAAAAAGTAACAACAGAAAACAAGGAAAGTGATAAAGGCTGAGCTAGTCAAAGAACGGAAAATGTCAATCGTCTTTCAAACAGGGAAATTGTTATAGCTTTAACCACCCCTGGGCAAGCGTGCGACAATCACTTAGGGATCTAAACATGACAAATGTAGCTGCATCATGAAAACATGGGACACGGCACATGCTTGCGAAATATTAGTGTTTTGGCTGAGAGTATAGCCACAAAATAACAGGCAGAAAGTCTTAACACGATCTCAGTTATGAAAGCCGAGTGGCATGTGCACAGGTAAAAATAAATGGTGTTCAGGCACACTTCCCGATGTAATTGTGTCGATCCCGAGAAGAGCGTGATTTTTTATCGTCAACTTACTTTTAATCTAGATGCGGAGCTGAATCGCTGCAAAGTTGTCCTCAGCTCAAAGGTGGCCATTCCAGCTGGTAATTTTTTCTGCAGAGTTTCTATAATGGAGCTTTCATCTGGCGTTCTATACAACTATGTTTTAAGGAAAAAAAATAGCTGAATAAATCAACCCTTTCACTCCCTACAGTTTCTGCTATGATCTAATTTCTCCTTACCGTACGAACCTTGAGTGAAACATTAAGGTAATGAGAATAAAAGAATAATCGCAAACTAAAGAATCTGTTGAGTGTGTAACAAATTCATCTTATCAATACCACAGGAGACAGTGTAGTGCGATCGTCCAGGTACCCCCCCCCGGGTTCAAACCATTTACTGTAATGCCACAGGAAATGGGTAGGGTTAACAAATGGTAAACACTACAGCGTACACTATTGAGTTAAGGATGCACGCGGGAGATTGTTAAGCACGAAAGAAGCGTAAGAGTCGCACGAGGCGATAGCCGAGAGCGATTCTTGCTTCTTGAGTGCTAAGCAATCCTCCCATGTGCATCCATAAGTCAATAGTGTACACTGTGGCGTTTACCATTTGTTTTATAACATAACATTGATGCATTGTAGCAAAAGAGTTTTCTTTTATTTGACAAATCTTTCATGACTAGGAAAAACAAGCGCGCGCGGAAAACTAGTCTTTGCATTTGCTCACGTCAGCAGCGTACACCCATGGGCATATGGTCGACGCTGAATTGCCCAATCAGAGCGCGCGCTTTACTTTGGTTATGCTATAACTGATGTTGGGGTATATCGGAGTTTATGGGTTCTTACTAAATCATGGAATCCAACAGAAGGAGGGCTATGAGTATGGAAATATCTCAGACATAATGGGAATCAACAAAGAAGGACAAGATACCATTAACCAATTCAAATACATTCTCTTCTCCTAACCTTTGCCAATTCAGTTTCCAGGTCAAACACTTTCATCATTTGTTCGTCTGAGTCGGGGCCTCCGCCGAGAAACTTGGCTATTTTTTTCATATACTTTTTATAAGCTTCCCGAACCTGAGACAGAAAGAAATCTACGATACTGATCGGATAAAGAGAATCTTTACTTCTCAAAGCCAGAAAGAAACTTTAATAGCCATGCTTTTTATCTTTAATTTATTGCAAGTTGTCTATCGCATACCAACTAGTCACTGTAAAAAAAAAAGTCGCAACCTTGTCCATTCATAGGTGCTAACGTATGATGCTCCAACTCGTAAGACTTGTTTTAAAAGGAATGAAAGACTCGGTCGCTTTTTGATTGAATCTATGGCCCTGGCCTGTTTGAAAGAGCACACGGAAGACCAAAAATTATTTTTCAAGAAGTATTTAGACAGGGCGAAAATTGATTAAAATAATCACCGCATTTTAAGGGTGCAATGTAGCAGCGGCATAAAAGGCAACTCGAAGTCTTCTTTGTAACAGCTACAACGATGGAGAAGACAGTGACCAGAATTTGACTCCTTCCAACGCATGCACAAAGTTCGACGAGCGAACTAACAGTAACTTTTTACTAGCCTCAAAAGGTTTGTTTGAATACGCGTGCGTGTACTTACAGTTTGATGTTCGGTTGTATTCTTTGTGTAATAGGATATAAGCATACCGAGTTGTCCCCTATTGAACTAAATGGGATAAAATCAGGTTATTTAGACATGTGCAGTGCTCTATTCCGGGACAGTCGCTGAACCTCCAAACATATCTCACTCAATTAAATGGTTTTTAGCTAAAATTTGTTCATATTTTCAAAATGCACAAGTCCGCACAAGTTGGTTTTCACTTGAAATTGTTCGAAAAGTATTTCGTTCTTGGTTCGACCGACGATTTTACCTTTGTCCTTTTTTTTTGTCATAATCTAAGCAGCAGCCGTTTGCAAACGGCGCGGCCAGGTGACTGAGTTATTTTTCAAAATGGCGGCCTCCATAGTCAGACATATAGCACACTAAAAGACGACTCTCAACCGGTTAGGTCACTCTTCGGAATCTCAAAGTGATTAGTACTGACTTTTTAATTATTCCTTTGAGTAGAACATACTTTTCCTTCAATTTGAAAGACCGCGATAGATGGATCACAACCGACCTGTAGAATGTGTTTGTTGGAGTTATGAGGATCGACAGACACTCCGATGTCAACAAAAGGTTTGATAAACAATTCCCTCGACACTTTGCCAATCCTCTGTGCGATACTCATCAATGACAAGGGCGTTATGTTACCAGTCACGTTCCATCCCCCCATTTTGTCAATCAACTTCTTGAGCGGATCGTCTCCGAGAGCCTCAACAGCCGCTGTGTTATTGCAAGTGTTGAAAAAATCCACGGTCTTCATAACAGCCTCATTCTGGAAATGAAGGCATATACATACACCTGACGTTGTCAGCAGAAATGACCACAAGGGAAAAGAAAAACAACAATTTCACTTACCTGTGAGTAGTTTCTGTTGGCATTTTCCAAAGCTTTCTTCAGTATATTGAAGCTTTTCTCTCTGGCCAATGTAAGGCCACTAACAAATGTCTCGCCATCACCTAAGGGATTCTCGTTTTCCCATCCGCCACATACATACTCGTAAAAATCCTCACATGGATCGACACTCTGATTCAGCTGCTTAAAGGCATCTTAACAAGAAGAAAAGAAAATTCCGGTTGGTAAACTGGGGGATTAGACCTTAATCCTCTTACCTAGTAACCGTGCTCGACTTATAAATATCCTGATGTCAACAGTTCAGTTGACCTCAGGCCTTGCTCTTGTAAGCTCCTCTTCCCAACAAATGTATAGCTTTAAATATATACTTGGCCTCCACTCTTCCATTCGCCTCCGATAATCGCACAAAACCATGAAGGACAGGCTTTTGTTTTGAAAGGCGAGTAAGGCGCTTTTCCCGAGGGTTCGCGCCAGTCCCTCGCTCGTCTCGCGCTCACCTCGCGCTCGCCTCGCACTCGCCCCATGCCTGCCTCAGATTGCACTGATACTCAGAAAAGAAATAAAGTAAGTGAAGTAAGTGAGATGAGAATAAATATCGATATAAATGGCAACATATGCGTCTTGTATCCAAGATTCCGTTCCACTGTACGCCCAATTGAAAAGTTCAATAATCAGGCAAAAAGACATCGTTTCTTGTCTTAGAAAAGCCGTGGTTATTTTATTAAAGCAATAGAACGCACCCTCGATGAGTTTACCGATAGTTGTTCCAACGATTCGGAAATTACTCTCCTTTGATTCGTGTTTCACAAGTTTCGCTCGTCTTCTGGCAAAATTCCGCGTGACAAACCGACAGAAAGTGTGACGGCTATATTGCCTTAACATAGATGAGAAACTATATGTACTCTGATTCGTCAAAAATCTGTCATTTTTTTTCTAACAATAGACTAATTCCTATTTTATTAGAAGCAAAACACCGCAGCAGGATAGTAAGTCACTTGGAATGTTAACTCACAACATTTGTTAGTCACTTGCTTTTCAAATCTTTATTTACAAGCTTTTCTCGTGTTTTCCAAATCTCTGCGTGAGTCATTACGCTGGTAAACCGATGGAAAGTGCGGTTTATTGCTTCATTATGCGAGAATAAAATATTTGGTTCTCGCCGCTGAGCGCAAGAATAAGTCGAAAAGAGCAGAAGTTGCTGTTCTATTTACTGTGTGTATTGCCGGTTGCATGCACATTTCAGTTCAAAATTACATTAAGCACCAGCAGGTAAACAGCAAGGGGGTTCAGAGCTCAATTGGTTTCCGCAAGGGATTACCGAAGGGGACTCTGTTAAAAAAAATACATAACCTCAAAACATGTTTAATTTAACTTTGAAACAAGATAAACATTGAATTGACAAAGTTCAAGGCCAAGATTCCTCGATAGATAAGTAGTCGATAAATCATGGTTGTTTTCAGCTTGTCAAATGATAATTTCACTAATTTGGTTAAAAGTTAACAACATCAATTATTAATCACTCAATTTTCCGCACGAAAATTGTCTCGAAAGTTTACCTTATTTAGCAACCCTGGGGAGTAATTAATGTAAAAAGTAACAAGCAATTCTGCGTTGTCGAAGGCGCCATGTTCATGTCCCGAAGTACAATAAATCTTACCTTGAGCAGTGAGAAGGCACGATTGTGATCCACAGTATTTCTGTGAAGTTGAGCTGCACTGCGGATCAGCCCGCGAAGTGTCGGATCTTGCCGTCAGGTATAGCGTAATAAAAACGATTGAAATCAAAAGGAAAATAAATGACATAAGAGATAAAATGATCAAGCATCTCATAGTCGCTGTTCTCCTAACACTCGGTCGAGGTGCAGCATCTTTCTCGTGTTCAAACGGCTCCATATTCTAAACTCACCCGCGTAAAGCTATAAATAAACTTCTTCAGTCTGTAATCCGAGCGAAGTGAACTCACTTGGGTTGGCGGTTTGCGCGCGTGTGTTATTTATTACCAGACGAATGTTTTGTCACGCTGTAGACCTAAAGGAATGTCATAAAAAGTGCATGAGTTAAGCAGGAAGTTTTAAGAATAAGTGTAGCGGAAGTCTTCCTGAAATACTTTGAGCAATGTTTATAGAAAGACACTGGCTTTGATAAGGCAACTTGGATCTACCATCGATGTATTGTGGTATAACTCTCCATAGTGTGGCTATTTTTTCAGGTTATCGCTGACCTTTTTTCGTAGGTGGATTAAATTAAAAGCAGGTATTTAAAAGGAATTTCTAAAGTCTATATTTAAAATTACGTTTACTGCACATAAAAGAAAAGATATGAAAATTAAAATGATTTAGTAATTCACTGACCCAAAGATATTTTGCATTTTTTAAAAAGATTATAGGAAAAGTGAGTAAATCAGAGCTTTTCTGTTTATGTGCCGTTTTTTTTTTTTTTTGTTTTTTTGTTTTGTTTTGTTGGAATGCTATGCAATTCCGAGTACAGCGCGCAGCGGATTCTTGCCATTTACCGTTCGCTTGAGACATATCTCTCAAACACTACTCTCGCATAAAATTGCTTGGTAATTAGATGGATAAAAATAACACAGAATTAGATGGAAATTGATTTCGCGCACCAGGACTCAAAAACATAATTGGCTTAGATTAAAGATACTTGGGTAAAACAGCCGCCTGAAAGAATGCCGGGGATGTTTATAGTACTGAACCTTTAAACATAAACATTCCTTGATTGAGTTTCACCCGCATTGTAATACTTAAGCTGCCAAGGACTCCATTTGAATGAAATGAAATAACTAAAGTACACGCGATTTTATTTTGTTTGCTAAGTCAGGAGCCACTAAGATGCTAATTTGGGTAGGATATCTGGCTTTTGGGAATCTCATGGCACTATAGGTCTTGAAATGTCTGAAATGTACTTGAAGCAAAACTGAGACATGTTATTTACTTGGGCAATTTCCGACAATCTACCTAACCTGGCTCGTGAGTAACCTCGAAGGTCTTGCACAACTTTAATAAAAAGCGGCCTAAATTTTCTCTTCCTGAGCGAGGATAACATCCAGATGTTTAGGGAATATTTATCAGTTTCTGTAACAAAGGAAAGCAAAGCAAGGAGAAAATTGCTTTCATTGAATTTAGTCTTTTTATTCTTTTTCCATAGTTGCTGAACCATTTTACATAAAGAAAAAGTCCTAAAACTCTAAAGTAGTTGGGCCTTGGCCGATTAAGTTTGATACTAAGCAGTAACGGGACAACCTCATGTCCCGTTAGGCGGACCAGCAGTATTCAGTCAAAAGCTCGCGTTCCGCATGTGAAGTGATTACATTTGTGAAGTGAAAACAGAAAAAGCGACTTTTCAAGCGGGCGCACGAAGGCTTATTTTCATCCGCAAAAACTATATGGAAGGTACGCCTATTGCGCGCGCAATTCGACTGGTATCTTTGTGACGTAAAGGGCCTAAACGCTGCTCGAGTCAGAAATTCTTTTGTTGTAGAAATCTCGTCATGTCGAACGATTCTCTGTTACAAGGCACATTGCACTTGTCCGAGGACTTACTCTGTAGAAGACCAGAAGAGAGAAAGATCAACGACATACTGCGGATTCTTCCTTGGATTCGACACAGGAGTAGTTTGTTTAAAACCCTGGAAGATGGTAAATATATGGCTGTGCTCACACTCTGAACACACTCTTTTTATATAGATATTGTAAGAATTTTTAATTGGCTTGATTTCTTCGAAAAAGGCTATAAACTACAAGATTGTAATGAAGACGCTGTCCGCATGCAAAGTTTTTTTGATTATGAAATTCTAGCCTCGCGTTATGTTAAAACCAATCATTCAACGATACGTGTTCTGAAAATTGTTTGCTCTATTGTCTCTTTATTGTTCATTGTTCATTAGGCTCAGTGGGCTAGGTTTTCTAGACAGATATGATGAATATATGAATGTTAGATCTCTCAGTAAGTAAGCGGTGCGAAATGATTTTAATTGAAATGTTACCCCCTCTACTTGAACACAGAGATTTATTTATTTATTTATTTAATCACTTTCACCAGAGTGTGGTCAGGGTCGCACAACAGAGCGAGGCTCCAAATTAAGTGCGCCCAATATCCCACCCATCTCACCCCAGGGGAGGACATCCACCACACAGTAATCTCGTGTGTGGGAAATTAACGATATGATAAATATCTTGCCAATTTCGAACATAACGCTTCTCCTCAATTGCAAGGGACTCCATTGGCTACCCATCTAACAGCGGATAGAATTTAAGACTCTTCTAATCATTTTTAAAGCACTCGATAAGTAAACTCCAACTTATTTAACAGACCTTCTTGTACCATATACACCTTCAAGATCACTTCGTTTTTCTTTCAAATGCAAACACCTTTTGACTGATATATATCTTATTAGACGTTTTGTTGTGTAGTATCGCTGAGTATTTTTACGAGTTGTGTCGTATTTTGACGAGCCCTACGGGCTCGTCAAAATACAAATAACGAGTAAAAATACTCAGCGATACTACACAAGAAAACGTCTAATAAGTTATTTATTATCCAACACGCCAAACTGTTATTTCAGTCACAGGGGGCCCAGACAAGCGACGAGTCTGGTTGCTTATTCGAAATATAAAGGAATGTATGGGAGAATATTGAAGAGTCTTATTATCGTGAACTTATATCATGAAATAAGGAGACCTTCTTATAACGTATAGCAACAGTCGAGGCAAAACCCACCAAATCGCTCAAATTCGCCATTTAGATCCACGGAAAAGACAATACACAGCAAGTGAGGTAGGTTTACATTTATTTTGAGCTTTAAGTCAGACATTTCATGATATAAGTTTACGATAATAAGACTCTTCAATATTCTCCCATACATTCCTTTATATTTCGAATAAACAACCACACTCGTCGCTTGTCTGGGCCCCGTGTGTTTCAGTGCGGGCGAATTTCGCGGATCTTTATTTACGGGGAGTGCGTGACAGAAGTATGCGAGGCGGAACGGAATTGGCGCGTTGTTGTGTTGCTGTTTCTATTTTCTTCATTAAATGAAGAAATTTTCTGGTCGTCAAGCTGTTTTTCTTCGTTCGATTCATCAAATGAATTTGGATCTATATTTTCCAGCCATTCTGACTCTTCGTCGTCGGAAATATGATTCAAATTGTCCGCCACCCTTTTTTTTTTCCGTGACTACAATCCAATTCTTCGCTTGCGGGATGCGAGAAAACCAGTTTATTTAACCGGTACTACAATAGACGAGTACAAATACCGCGTGATATTTGTACTCGTCTATGGCGTTATTCGTACTCGTCTAGGTGTAGTTGGATAATAATTTCTATTATTTGAATTTTATTGTATTTTTTGTAAATAATACTTTATTTTTATAGACATAGTTAGGTAATTTGTGGCTTTTAATAATAATTTCTCTCCTGTGAAGCGTTTTTGGACCACTGGGAATAGACGCTATATAAAGGTATTATTACTATTATTGTTATTATTATTATTATTATTATTATTATTAATTTACGTAACCTGTTTTTGATATACCTAAATCCGAGAAGAAAAATCTCGCTCCGTAACTTACAGTAAGGACCTCGAACTTGGCTAATAAGAGAAAAACATGTTTATGGTTATCTGTTGGGAGAATATGCTTTCCTATTTTGGGTTGGGGTCGAGACTTCGATAAACATTCATTTTCTCGTATGCACTGTTTCTTTTTGAAACAGAGATTCTAATCAATGTCATCAAAGATGTGCAGTTGATCAAAGTAAAGAAAGATCATGTCATCGTTCGACAGGGAGAGAAGGGAAACTGGTAAGTACTGCTCAACGTCGTTTCCCGGGCATTTCCAGCTTATAGCTCGTAATTTTTCTCACCCCTCGGAAATACAAATTAACTTGCAAAATGTTCGCTTATTATATGCATGTTTAACTATCGAATAAGATGTATGTATATTAATTTGGTTTTGTTACCTGCTCTTCGATATCCAACGGATGAACTTGCATTCACTGCGTCTAAAAGAATCTGAGTCTGAATATGTGTTTACTCTCTGGCAGTTTCTATGTCATTCTTAAGGGAGCGGTGTCAGTTTATGCCAGAAAGGAAGATGATCATCACACCGACTACCACCATCATCACGACATGGGTGCAGTCCGCAGCGCCCAAGAAAGAATGGCGTACTTTGGGAATGAGTTGGGAAATCTGAAGAGTGGCAAGAGTTTTGGTGAGATGGTTCTAATGAGCAGTAAAAAGGAACGAAATGCCACCGTGATCGCCGATGAGTTGACAGAATTGATTATTATCGATGAGGAATTGTATAAGAGTGCTTTTCACGCGTATAACATTGAATGGAAAGAGAAGTCTGCCTTTGTTCTTGCTTGCCCGCTGTTTGCGTCCTGGCCGACAGCGCTGAAAGCACTATTAATTGAATACCTTAAAATGCATAAAATCCAGTTTGGAAATCGGGTAGTCAAGCAGGGCTCGCCTTGTAACGCGGTTTATCTCATTGCTAAAGGTGCCGCTAAAGTTTTATCTGATCCCAGAAAGTGCAAAGAACAGTTCGAAGCTTTTACACCGAAAAAGAGAGAGAAGAAAAAAAAACGACACCACGGGGAAGAGGAAGAACAAAAAGAAGAAGAAGAAAAGATCGAATTGAATGCATTAGAAGATCTAGTTAGGCCTTTAACTGTTATTGAAAAACGACGCCGGAGATTGCAGCATGGATTCGTTGCTTTGGAGAACAGGCTACGGCGCCGTGAATTACAGGTCTCCACCATTGGACCCAATGACATTATTGGTGACGTGGAGATAGTTCTTGATATCCCAGAGTACTGTGCGAGTGTAGAGTGTGTCGAGACGCTAGAGGGGTATGAGTTGGACAAAGCAAGCTTTCAGCGGCTCGTAGCGCGGCGCAGCCCGGAGACGCTGGCGCTCCTGCATAGAGTTGTTATTACAAAGCTGAGGTTACGAGCGGAGAAGTTTAGTGAGATACCGCTGTTCAAATATCTGCTCGATCGTGCTGAAGCGGTAACTAATAAGGAAACGTCAAGGTCACTTAGGAAAAAAAGCACCCTGCTGCCCATGATCAAAAAACCATTAGCTGGAGGAGGAAGATGGAAGGCAACCAAAGCAACAGTTCTCTTTGGTGGGCAGCGAGCCAGAGAGAGCGAAATCATTACGGACAGGAAAGCTGAACCTAGTTACAAGGATAAGAAGCCCGCCTCCAGGTGAGATAACAAAACAAAAGAAATATAAAATGCAATATCTGACTAAAACACTGCACTCGAGTCTGCTCTCGAGCTAAGTGCCCCACAAGGCCCATGGGCCCATCTTACCCGCTCGGGATTACCCGCTCGGGATTGCATACCTTGATCCCGCTTGGAGCGGATTTACAACGATCGTAATTTTTGGATGATGTCGGCAAGAAGAAGAAGAAGAATTAAGAAGAAGAACACATTTAAAACACGGAAAGCATAAAAGCGCACGTTCCATCACCGTTGGTTTTCTTTCCCAGGGCTTGCGAGATAAAAGTTATCCTTGATTCTTAATAAAGCGTATCAAAGGAGAAGATATGAAAAGGTATACAAAAAGAACCTATTACAGGAATAAGTCTAGCAGGGTCACTTGAAGGAAGATAATATTTAGGATTATTGTATTTTGAGTTCATTCAGGCACAGTTCAAATATTTGCCGCTTGTTTCCGTTTTCATTAAGGTGGCTCTGTCAAGTTTGATGACCATGCATAAGCTGCCTACGAAAACTTTAGTCAGTCTGCATAAAGTTTTAACAGTTATTATTTCTTTCACAAGTTAGTGATATAGAAACTTACTCGATAAACTCAGCACTTCATTCTCGGCTTAAAAATTGTTAATCAGCTTTCAAAACACCGGAAAATGGTCTTAAGAGTCGCGCGCGCCAATGACATGTTTTCGGAAGTTTGGTATTTACGTTTTTCCTGTGTAATTCATAATTCCTGTACAAAATTACGGGAAGACTTTCTTAGACGATATTTTGAAAGGCATCAATTTTTTTAATGTGAATCAAATATTCGTGGAAGGCTCACAATTCTAGAAAGCGTGGCATATCATAAGCAAACCGCAAATGGAATAATATAATTTCTAGCGGTTTTCCTTCACTCGTTCGTTCATTAAATCGATAATGTTCACAGGAGTGCTGAACAAAAGGGGTCTTGCTATCTCTTCACCAGGCTGATTTAGTGATTGTAGTAAATCAGAGTTCATTTTTGGCCTTTTTCCCTTTGACGTAGATCCACACTTACGCAATGTATTTTCACTCAAAACTGTATCCATTTGATATTAGTCGAGTACGTAGCTCAATTTTTTTCTCAAGGAAACATTGTTTTAATTTTAACAACGAATGTCATTGACATCCAAGTGGAGTATTAAGCATTGAGTTGCGGAAAAACCACCAAAACTCAAGGAATTTGAGATCTTAATTTGGGAGACAGGAAGTCTCAAGTAGTTGTTGGTTGCATGAGCATCGGGCATGATATGCTGAGCTCCCTTTTAAAGGACGAAATTCTGAAAATTATTAAAACTTTACAGCTGACTATTCAAAATAAGTAATAATCAAGGTGTAAAGAGGAATTTTACAAATGCGTGGGAAGTAGAGAAAGGGAAATGAGATATCACATTAGAAAATTATTTACACAGCTAGCATTTGATACAGAGCTTCCCTTAATTAAACGCCTCCTAAAACCTGTTTCTGTTTTTTACCATATTCATGATTATTATTATTATTATTTTCAGTGAAATGAAGAGAAGAGACAAAAAACGCTGCGATAGAAAGGTATGAAAGAAATCATACATTTAAAACCACTAATTAAGCAGTAGACCGCCTTTTTTTGTCGGTTTACCGGCGTAATAACCCACGCGGGAAGTTGAGAGAACACGAGAAGATTTAAAATCTGTAAATCATGAGCCGGCCGGAGGCAAGTGATCAAGAAACTTTTCTCGTGTTCTACCAACATCTCAACCGAGTTATTAGGCCGATAAACCGATCGAAATGGCGGTCTGTTGTATTTATCAAATAAACTTAAAACAAAATGACAAAACGTTCAATTTTCAATGGGTTTACAAGTGCAATAGGCGGTAGGGCTTTTGAGCAATATTTCAGAAATTTTATAATCCTGTTTTAACATTATCAGTGTTAAAAAATGGCAGTAAAATATCAAGTTGGGTTTGAGTTTCAGAGAGAGGAATTTTCAACTTTCATACAGTGACTATTTGTTTCAAGAAAAATATTTCATCTACTTTATTGCATGGAACAACTTGCGCTTCCTAGCTTCCATCCTTGTTGTTAATGTTTTTTTTTTTTGTAATAAGTTATCGTTAATATTTGGAGCCGACTGAAAGAATTGTTGCATTTGATGTAGCTATTGCGGCTGCGCCTCGAGAGTCCACAACAGCTGATTACTGTGATGATGAATATCGTTGTCGACAAGAGTACAGAGAGACCATGCTAAACCTTTCGATTTGTTAATTATTTTACGTCTTTAAACTGCGACGCCTTTCAAATGAACGACTGCTACGAATTACATTTCATCTGTTCAACGAGAAGCTTTGACTTTTTGAATTCGAGTGAAATAATAATGGCGCCAAAATTTGTAAAACAATTGAGAAAAATGCGTTATTGAAATCAGCCCGTATCAATAGTTTCTGAAATTGAATTGATTATCAAAACAAATGATGGAAAAGGAATGTAAGTTAACCTTAACCACTCATTTCGATTATCGGAGACAAAAAAGGAAAAAAAATATTTGATATGAAAGACGCCAGTGCTCTTTTTAATTGATCTATTTTGCAGGAGCCGGCAAAAAAGCAGTACACCTCAGAGGAATTCCGTGCTTTGAAGAAGAAAATGCAGGCACGAGGCAAAACGATACGATGAAGAAGTATCCAAGGAGTTATAAGAGGCACTATTGTTTTCGTAAAAATCAAACTGTTGTAGCAATTTTACATTCAGAATCTGTGTTATTCAGACTTGAAAATTGACAGAGGTGATGGAAATAAACATCAGATCATGTAGAATATTGAGAGCTCCTTCTCTGATAACTTCTGATCCCCGCCCTCCCCTCCCTTCCTGCCAAACATCCACGGTAACAGACTTTTCCCACAGCTAGTAAGCAGTAGGTTCAGCCACCTATAGAGCTTTAATTGTTAATTACACCCTTGAAAAATCGAGTGCTTCTGATGATTTTTAGTAACCTAGAGCAGCTTTCGCTTAACTTTGTTTATTTCAGGTTAAAATTCTTAGACGAAAAATTCAGGTCCCTTGAGTGCGACAATTGAAATCAAGTTATCAGCAAAATATTACGGAAATATACCCTTTGCGAGGTTCTTTTGCCCTCTATTACTCTAGCACTTCAAAGTTTATACAGTTGCTGTCTTTGAACATAGTTATTTTGTGCCTCTTGTGATTGAAAACTATGAAACTGTTAGCGTGTAGGTATCTTATTTTTACCACTACCTCTGTTACGCGAAGCGGCGTCTCACATTGTTAACTGCCCGATAGAATAAAGAGGGTCTACCTTAAATCAAAAGCTCAGACTCACCGGAGCTTTTTGCTTAGAATGAAAAGGTGTCTCACATTGTTGACTGCCCGATAGAATAAAGAGGGTCTACCTTAAATCAAAAGCTCAGACTCACCGGAGCTTTTTGCTTAGAATGAAAAGGTGTGCAGAGATTTTCAAAATCGTCACCATAACAACAGCATTTGACGTCATAGGCACTCCCTGCATTCTCTCCAGCTTTTACAAAAACACTCATTTAGTGAGATAATCGTATAAAAATATGGCCTGGGTGAAAAATAATCAGAGGAACCGTTGAAAATCTTCATTTATTTTCAAGAAGTTCATTCCTGTGAGGAGTACTTACTAATAGTAAGTAATGACGTAGGTGTGACGACATTTACTTGACGTGTACATTTCCATGTTGCACATACTTGACGCCAATTTAAACTTGACCTCAGGGTGTTACTCTTACAAATCGAATATAAAAACTGACATATTTAAGGCTATGGTCACGATATTTTCGAGTCGTTTGTTAAGATGCGCAAAATTACCTTCAGCGCGAAGGAAATAATAAAATGTGTCTGTTTCATGTGATAAAAAAAACGCTTAAATTTCCTGTGTTCTTATTACTTTGTTTTTCCTTTAACGACCCCTTCTCGTGGGTGGAGGGGGTGAATTACTCCCATAAATAGGTTATTTAACTAAGTAATATGGTATGCGCCTTCCCAAAGGTGCAATTTTTGATCCGGTTTTGGATTGAAAACGGGTATAGATTGAAGACAAAAGGTATAATTTTTCATCCGATTTTGGATTGAAAACGGGTATAGCTTCAAGACAATACAATATTTGAGCGTCTACATATATCTGAAACAGAGCTAAAAACTCAGGGAAGTATCATCTCAGCACCCCCTCCCCTTCCCCCCAACCTCCCCTCTTCTCTATCCCTTGGCTTCAATGACTCAACTGAAATGAGCTTTGCATTCCTAGAAAATGATTAATTTTCCTATTCTAGTGGCGCAAGTGGTCGATTAAAACGGTTCATGTGGTGATACAAAGCTACAAGAGTATTGAAATTTGGTTAAAATGTTTTTGAGGGCCACTCAATTCAACCGATATTTTGGTAATGACTATCTAAAAGTTTGTCATGTTACCTCCAGCTGGCAATGATGTCACCGAGTCTTCATGTGACAAGGTATCCGAACCTTCATGTAGAAAGCCACCAGAAATAGATCGAATTTTACAACCCGATGCCAAAAAATTATGAAGAGCAGGAGTCAAAGCATCCTCAAGCCGTATGAAGAATAGAAAATTTAATTATGTTTTGTTGTGACAAATTGAGTGAGAGGCAGTTTTGTCTCTATTGAATTTTATTGTGAAGTATTTGTTGTTTCTGATAGTCTATTAAATTGACAAACGGCCAATACATCATGTTTATGTCACTCGCACGTCACTGTAGCAAGGACTTTTCAATTCAACAAAACCCACTTATCAAAGGCGTTTTCTACATCCTTCAACATCAGTCATAAAATTTTAATTTAAGTTCACCTTAGGACGATATCTATTGATAGTTATTACTTCTGAATGCTTCAAGGTCAATGATGCGCTTGATCAGAGATTGTGGATAAGAAATTGCTGGGCTGTCTCCCTAAACTTTGGCGAAATGTGTTTCACTGAAACATCAAAATACCAATTCAATTACAGTCATGTAAACCTAAAAGCAAGAAGGAAGGGAAAAGAAACAAAAACAAATGGATCGGTTCTGTTGAGAAACTGAGATCGAAATTAGTTGACTATGTTGCGAATTAAGATTCCTTTTCGGCATACCAGTCCCAGCATGTGTTGCTATCGGAAATGCATGAAATAACATTACAATGTGTTTCTAACGTATAAACAGAAAAATTACCAAAAAAAATTGATATTAAGAGCTTTGGCAGCACAGTTATCTGGAGGAAGGATTCAAACGCGACAGATCGTTAATTTTCATTTGAGCCTCTGTTGCTGGGGCCAGCTGGGCGGGCCCGTTTTTCGAAAGTCCCGGTAACTTAACGGGCCCGTAAAGCTGTTGCTTTTATTCAAAATAGGGGTTTCACATTTTCTTTAAATCATGCAATAAGAATATCAGCTAAAGAAACAAAAGGGACTGGATGCCAGAAGCTGATTCTCGATTCTTTCAATTTTGATTTTAAAATATGGCATCAAGTCATCTTTCACAATCGTTATCGATGTTGTTCACCGGCATATCAATCACACGGCTTATGTCAAGCAATAACAAGTGGATCTGTCATGTTATCCTGAAATATATTTACATCTTCGTTTAAGTCATATTATAGCAAAAAGTTGTGAAAAAATCTGTTGAATGTACAACGTTCTAAAACACCAAAAATTACTTTATCGTCGAATGATTCAGTCCAGTGGATCCAACTTAAGTCCTTGATATCAAGTTACATCGTTTCACGTCAAAGCTGAAGGATTGTCCACCGTTATATTAGAACCGTTGAGTGTAGTTCACTTGCTACAAGTTAAGTCTTTGCATTGTGAGCCACTGATCATATTTTCCAACCAAACGATTACTCACTGCTTATCAATTGCTACTAAAAAATACTTTTCTCATGAGAAAAAAGAATTTGTCCAATATGCAGATCTCTTCGATAGTGTGCTTGATTGTAGAGGGCTACTCAAAATGAGCGGTACATTTATTTGACTGACGGAATAATCGAGTAATTTGATAAGTTAGGAATTACCGCTATTTTTGCTAGTCAGGTGCTTTTTTGTTGCTGTTGTTTCTCGAATATATTTTGTATTCATTTGCTGTGAGAATAAATTGCGCTTCACGTTTTCTCGTTGCAGTCTTTCGACATTCCTTGAAACAATGTTTTGATAAAGTTTTGGAATACAAGAACGAGAAATCGAGGAAGACGGTAAACTTGAAAGTCATGCTTCCGACAGCTCATCCCAAATAAATTGCTTTGTTATTGAAAACAAACTTAAACATCCAAATAATTGCCTCGCCACACTCAGTTTAGCGAATTTGTCTGACAGCCGTGAATTTTTAAGATAAACTACACTTCAGATACCACGACGGATATCACTGATAGATTTTAAGAAAAACGACTAAAAGATGGGAACCGAAAGCAAAGATTAACAATGAGCCTTAAAAATCGTGCTATTTGTTTCCGTTGTAAAGGAAAGACTATGATTTATTGTGTGGACTAAGATGTTCATCGTTTTAATCAGCACTTGGAATACACTGTTATGAAACAGAGATTTCTCAGAGAAAAAAAATTGCAGCGCTTTAAAATCACTACAACGTGTACGAAATGTATGTTGAATACCGTTGATCGCAAAATATGAAAAAATTATCGTATAAACTGGACCAGGAACATGTCTGAAAAAGAAACAGAATAATAAATAACGATAAATTCTGTAATATCTATTTTTTTTTTATTCAAAATAAAAACTACCTCCCACGAAAATGAATAGGTCCGAAAAAAGTAAAAATTTGTTATCGGATAATGTTTAATACAAAATATGTTTTTTTTTTTTTTTTACTGCTAGGATTCGCACAACGAATGAACGATATAAACTGAATTGGAAAACCCTTAAGAGATATGTTAACGTTCATTTAAGAATATTCATTCAGTGATGTTGGTGCATAAAAGAAAGATGCTTCTTTGATCCGTAACTTAATTAATTACCGAGATTTAGAACAAGCAGTTCCATCTTTTATTTCTATCTTTCAATTTAAATTTTTTTAAATTTTGGCTTTATGATATTAGGAACTTGTTTTAAATTTGACAAATAAACAAAAAGATGTAGTATTGGTCGCAAATGCTTTCAATCTTTAATTACTAAGATCGAAACGATAAAATTGCAAATTTTAAACTCTATCGAAATTAAATTTTTTGGGAGATGTATTAAAAAAAGATATAGATTTCAATATATTTTTTATTATCCTTTTCTTCCTTCATTTACTTGGGAATATGTTAAGTAAATAATTTTGTGGAGAGGAGGGTAACGCGAAAGCAAACAAGTCCAAAAGTCGTTCAAAAATCGTTTACAAATTTTAACTTCACATCCACAAATTTTAAGAAGACATATTCCGGACGAATCTTTTTGTTTCAGATCGGGTATTAAATGTTAAAATATCTGGGCCAAGACGAAAAATGCGGAATTTCTTCTAGACGAGGGCAAATCAGATATTTGTGTGAGTCTTCAAAAGTAATTTTTTGCCTCTCGAGATTTCAAAGAAGGGTGAAAAATATCTGGAGCCTCTTTGTCTTACGGGACACATTTATTATTCTAGAGGCGAGGATAATGAAATCTATATATATCATCGATCACCAAGTAGAGGGAGGTGGTTATAACAGCTACACGAAACTACAAGGAAGCAAAGTCTGATTCGACTTAAAACCTGGAGACGCAAAAATGAAAGGAACGTCTTGGGTCATGATTTTGACTCACTGACAAGTTTTCAGTTTATTTCAGCGACGAGTCAACGGTAGAACTTTCGAGTCAATGGTTCATCTGTTTGATTAATTACCGGATAAGCGATTAAATGTTGATATCATTTGCTGCCCCCGCCCACCACAAGGAACTCAAAGCGGCGAATAAACCCACTGAGAAGGATGTGATGGCAGTAATCTTTCATAGTTATTTCCGACAACGAGGCGCTAAAAGGAATATAAGCTGATCAGTTTTTCAACTGCATGCATACGGCCCATGCTTAAGTGAAAAACATAGAGCAAGGTGAGTTATCAAGGTACGAAATCCCCAATTTCACTTTATCTTTGATCTGACATTACTTAAAGAAATTGCTAGAAGTAATGGAACACCAGAAATACTCAACGCCCTCTTGTGCCTGTACAACCTAGCCGAACTTCTCAATTTTGGTAAGGTCGTCAACAATTAGTATTTGTTCCTTCCGAATAGAGAAATTTGGTTTCCAAATCAGATTTATCGTATTTCATTTTAAACCCGGATATCAATATACAGAGCGAGAACCTTTTTCGTCACAACAAAGCAATTCTTAGGGAGGGAATATGCTTCCTAATAAAGAGTAATCGGGATATTGTCACCGAGGTATTTAACAGATAGTTACAACCTTTACTTTTGAAGACTTAGCAAAACATTGAAAACAGAATGCAATTATATTATCTTAATCAGTAAGAACCGTTATTTTCAACAGACTCTGTTAAACATTGATTTTCAAACACTAGTTTTGTCTGGTGGCCTTGTCACTCGGACGCTTGGTCAATAAACAAACAATACCACCTGAAATGAAGAGGTTATTTTCCAAATTTACGCGTTGGGTTTTAGTCTGTCGTAACATTGTGTAAACGGTTTCACTTTGATATCATAATTTGACGTATCTTTTACAGCAATTATGTGGCTGCATAGCTTCGTTTCCTATATACCTAGTTCTTTCGTACAAATGGCTCACGAAGTAATTCAATCAACAATGTTAAGGTTACTGTGATAAATTGTAAAGCCTTTTATCTTTATTTCCAACTATGCTTTGTAGAGTACAAATAACGCGCGAGAAGAGTACAAAAATCACGCGATATTTGTTCCTCAGAAATATCCGCGAAATTCGCCCAAACTGAAATAACAATTTGGCGTGTTGGATGATAAATCTCTCATTAGACGTTTTGTTGTGTAGTATTGCTGACTGTTTTTACTCGTTGTTTCTGTTTTGACTCGTCCTACGGGCTCGTCAAAATACTGCACACCTCGTAAAAATACTCAGCGATACAACACAACCAAACGTCTAATAAGATGTATGTATTTAAAATCGAGGAAGACTGGTGTGAGGCGAGTTCATCATCTGCTGGCGATTACTTGGTTTTCTACAACTCACTGCTTGAATATATATATATATATATATATAAATATAAATATATTTTTTTAACGAGAAAACAATTCACCATCACAGATCTACACTATAAACAGTTTCATTGTTTGAAGAAAGTGTCTCATTCAATTCCAGAGAATTGATATTGACGGTTTAGCCTCCTTTTGGTGCGAAATGCTTTCCACGTTTCTAGTTCTGTTTTTTCTACAATCAGGTAAGACATTTATGTTAATTTTACCTTTATTACGACCTTCTTCTTCCTGTTCCAGCAGTACAACAACTTTAAATAGCTAATACTGCCATATTTGAAGACTAAAATTCGACTTGAACGATAGTAATTTCTTTTACAACTGACACCCCGTTGCTGTCATTTTACTTCCAAAAAGTCGATGTTAATTTGTGATTCAAATGCAAATATCAAATGCAAATACCAATCGTAGGTTGATTCCATTCAACCTACGATTGGTTGAAAGGAATCTCATTTCATGTGCTGCACACTATGTTCTCTCAATTCTAGCTCATGTCAGTGGATGTACTTATTTGTCGTTAATCTAAAAATAGAAATCTCTGGCCATTCCCGATGAGACGATGCAACTTTGTGATGTATTCGAGACAATCGCAAGACTCTTATTACACCCTCAACAATTGATTTTTAATTCCAATCATCCTAACTCACTATCTGTTTAAACGTACTTTTAGTCTCTTCTAGGAATTTGAACCGAGTTGAAAGTCCGATTCCTATGGAGGAAGCTCCCTTAAACGGCTGTCAAAATGAAGAAGAATGCGAGTATGGCTCGCGGCAGCGCGTGGGCCGCTCGAGTGTGCTTACACAGAAGCGCCAAGTCCCTTGTGACACCCTCCCGTCGCACCTGCAGCTAAACTGTAATCTTTTTATGGGCAAAAGACGGGATGATTTCTCTAGACGAACATATGAACGCCCACGTAGCTTTGTGAACCCTTTACAGTTTCAAGACCCCGTTCCAAGATGCACAAAATTTACCTGCCGTTTCAACCCAAGTGGCAAAAAGAAATTTATGGTTAAGAAAGGTGTCCGTGATACTGCACTGAAGGAGGACAACATGGGTGATGTGACCTCAGACACCAACTCAAAAACTTGCACCGATCCAACAGACTTGTTTTGCTACAGCAGTGGAGGAGCTGGACGAAAGCGATCGGTAAGTTGATCCCACATTACTGACGACCCTTTCACGCAAACGTCTAGTCCTAACCTATCCCCTTCCACGCCTAGCGGGAAGTATTTCTTGGAAACTGCTCACCATCTCGGCCTCAGTGTTCTGCGACATTCTCTCGAGCTTTATTGGTTTTTTAAGAGTGTTCCCAATGTAGCCTTGCATGTATCTTCAGATCAATATACTGTTTTTTCCTCCTGTGTCGCAATTGCCTACAATTTTCCATGGCCGCTCTTATGGTCGAATTTTGGCGCACTGAAAGTAAATCTCAAAATTTTAGGATACTCCTTCGAATCTCAAAATGTGTTAAATGATCTTTTTTATTACAATATACAACCGGAGACAAAAATACCTTGTTTCTAATGTATACTTCACCCATGGGAAGTTAAAGCGTAGCACGTCCAGTTTTTGTTGTGATCGAAAACATTGAAGGAACTAAGTTCACATCAAGCACGGAATGAACTGCATATCAAGGAGAATTATACAATTTTTTTGGAAAGGGCTTTTTCGTGACATAACTGTGTTTGAAAAAACGAAATGAAAAAATGTTGAAAGCACACAGAAGAATGCACTTGAGAGGTCACTCTGTCATGGGAGTGAAACATGTGGCTCTATCTATTTTACATGAAGACACGAAATAGCGAATTCCTCCTCATTCCCGTCACTAAAAACGAAATTTCGTCTGGTTTGTGGCGAGAATCTTTATGGAATCACAGGAAAACCTCAGGCTTACAATTGTTCGGATCAGTGTCAGTATCTGAGCAACGGCGCACCTACCCTCCCCTAACCCAACAAAAGTCGACTGATAACAAGATAGGGCTAATTTTGGGTAGGGGAGGGGTAGGTGCACTGAGTTTGGATCAATGTCAGTATCTTAGGAACTCTACACCTACCCCTCCCACAACTCAATAACAAGTTAGGGCTAATGTTGGGTTAGGGGAGGGGTAGGTGCACTGAGTTTGGATCAATGTCAGTATCTGAGCAACTATACACCTACCCCTCCCACAACTCAATAACAAGCTAGGGCTAATTTTGGGTAGGGGAGGAATAGGTACGAAATTGCTCAGATATTAACATTGATCGAATTGTTCTATCATTAGATTCCTGAAATAGACCAAAACTGCTCAGATCCAGAAAATAGTCAGACTTCAATATGCCGCTGGGGAAGTCAAGTAGGAAAAAAAAGTTTTTCCGATTAGGAGATGAGCACGATTGACAATAAGAGGTGGGCACTAAAATGTCATCTTTGTTTATTAAACCATCACCCTAACAGCCTAGCTTCAAAAAAAGAAAAATTACAAAATGTTCATGAAGTATTTATCGCTTAACTCACGATGTCGTCACTTCGGTAGTGGATAGAACAGGGCAGTGGACCGCCGAGGGAGTAGATTATCGTAAGACAGCAGCCAATTACAGCAGGGAATGTTGCTTTATATCCTGTCATGTGACCCGTGGATTTCATCGCCTTTAGAAACTAGCAGTGTGCAGTAGAAGGGTCGCTATCCACATCGGAAGTAACAACAATGTGAAACAAACGATGAACATTTCAAATCAGTGTCATGGTGTTTTTATAATTGTTCCTCTGCGATAAATAGCCCTAACTTTGAAGTCAGCTTGATGAAGTTAAAATAAATTTTTGTGATTAACAATACCTCTTTTATTCTTTTCAGGTGATTTGATTTATGAGGTTAGATAACTCTGTGGCCGCCCTTGAGTGTAACAACGAAACAAGAATATCAGTTAGGAGAAAATGCTATTGGTCTCCAGACTTCTTTTCTTTGCTGATTCTTAACAATATAAATTTCTGTGTTATAGATTAAAGCTGTGGAATAAAAGCGTTTTTATGTGCCCCTCGGTATTTTTTTTAAATCAACCATAATTATTTTATAACTCTGCAAAAACAGCTTTTTCACCTTACTTTCACATATCAAAATGAATAAAACCTAAGTGGCTTCGTTGGTTTCATTACTGGGAAAACATACGCTTTCCATTATACCATTTATTCTCTCAGCAATGCCTAATAGATATACGTGGAAAGGATTGGAAATACATCGAAATTGAAAAACGAAAAACCAAAACAAAACAAAACAAAGGAATTGAGGTATTAGACTAAGTAAAGTAGTACTTTCGCTGGGAAGTCATAGCAACTAGACCGACTGCAACTCATATGTTTACATAGGCAAAGTATACCTTAGGTGTTTGTCAATGACGTCGTATTACACAGCCCTTTACCTTTTTTATATTATTCATCCCTTACAGAAATCCATGTTAGAATTACAATACAAACTAAATCCGACGACCAAGAATAAGTCATGATATTGTTTTCAGTCCAGTCGTGTTAAACTTCATGTCAATCTTCTTGTTATTTTTCCACATGCTGCCAGCTGGTAAGGAAATTCAGTACCCCTCCTTCGAGGAATGTACTTGGTTTTTCAAATCTTTTCTTTCACCTTTTATTTCTCGGTTTAATTAACTTAGAAAAATTTATTGTGCCACTGTAAAGGTTTCCCGACGCAAAGTGTCCAAGATGACATGTTTTTCTACGACTTAAACTGGACTTTTTCGGTTCTATTGACCGGACAAAAATAATGTTTAAAGGTTATTTCTTGTGCCCTTAGGGTTTAGAACAACTAACGTATAGTAATAACATAATACATAGTGTGCCCTGGCAACATAGTGCACGTAATAGGAGCTTGATGCATTATTGACATAAGTAACGTACTTCTGTTGTTTACCCACTGTGCAATATAGTGTTCTGTAGTCATCAGAGAAAAACTAGTGAATAAGCTGATTACAACACGGTGCGTCGGTCCAGTAATGGTGACGGTAGCAGAGGAGAGGCCAACCTACTGGCAGCATAGTTGTTCATGGCTCGCGGGACCCCAAAAACATTTCTTGTTCCAGATGAATTCTTCTCGAGATCGCGATCCAATTTCAAAGATTTATCACATTCTTTCTCTTCTTCCACTTCCTCGTAGCATTCTGCGATTTCACAGCTCTTCCTTTGTTCATAACTTTCATCGCCTGTCTGTACGGCCATGTCAACTTTGTCCACTGTAAGAAAAGTAGCTTTATCAATTACCATCAGAAATGGCTAAATGCGTGACAATTACTGGTCTGCATCAGCCAGATCAAAGTGTGAAGCTTACGACGCAGTCATTAACACTCGCCTATTATTCCCACTCATTCCCTTCCAACTCAATTTCGACATACAGTCCAGTGTACGGTTTGAAAATCAAAACACTTTAGTAGTAACACTACCTCATTACGATCTACCATAGTTTTTAACACATTTCTTATTTCAATGAGAACCACGGTGGCGAGTCTATGGGGTTGGACGGGCTCATGCGGTGGATCTGATGATGAGGCGAAATACTCTCCTTTCACTCAGTCCTTCTTTGCCCAGGATTATTAGTGAGCACTGTCCAGCAGATCATCTGAACAACTGGTTCATAAATGTAGCAGTGCTCTTACTAACCTCACTAATCAACACCCATGCCATGCATGTTGTTTTGCATAAGAAAGTCAGTACTCGAACCAAGTGGCTCATGCAGCCGGAGTTTATTTTTGTAGTGTTACTACTACTCCCTGGANGGGGGGGGAGGGGTAGCTGCAAGGATGCATGGTTACACCCCAGAATTTCATAAGGCTACCCTGATCATTTCCCGATACCAATTTATACTCCTAGGTGGGGAGAGTAAAAGTGTTTCGCCCAAAACACAACACAATGATCCGATCAGGCCTCGAAACCAGACCCCCTACCCAGAGTCTTGCGCACTAACTATTGGGCGCCCGCGCCTCCCAATGAATGTCTTTGTACCTCTCTATCTTATTCCTAGGAAGCTATAATACAGCTTGTTCAACTCAAAACATACCTTTTCTCTTACAAACGAAGACTGAATCAAAAAACAGCATAATGGAGACTAGAGCAACCAGCGCAGCCAGCCCTGGAGCGAAACTTTGGACGTTTCTCACAAATTCATCACAAGATGGACAAACCGCACTAAGGAAGGGAGGGAAGGTATCAAAGCCATGAGAAGCTCACTGATTATGATTTAAATATAAGAATCTTTTGTCACTGGGACTCGCTCTCGGCACACTCTAGACTCAGAAATCTAAAGCTTATTCAGTGCTTTCCATGTTTCTTGCGAGCTAAATAATAACGTGGTTAACATTTAATGGAAGTTTTAGTATGAGCCTCTTGTTAATTGGCTCGTTGATAAAATCATTCTCGATAAATTGATTGGTTGAAAGACTGACTGACAGATCAACTGATTGGCTGGCTTGCCGACCAACTGGCTGACTGGTTAGCAGAATGGCCGACTAAGGTACTGGCTAACTAGCCGGCAGGAAGACCAATTGGCCACATAACTGACTGTTATTGGTTAAATGACTGAGTGACAGACCGACAGATGGACTGGCCGACTTATCAAGTGGCTGGCTATGATTGGCAGAACAACAAATCAACTGAAAGATGGTAACTTACTGACTTTGAGCAATCGAGCGACTGACTGTCTGAGCTACTGAGTGACTGTCTGAGCGACTGGCTGACTGTCTGACTGACTGATTGACTGCCTGAGCTACTGAATGACTGTCTGAGCTACTGACTGACTGTCTGAGCGACTGGCTGACTGAGTGACTGATTGACTGTCTGAGTGACTGATTGATTGTCTGAGTGACTGATTGACTGTCTGAGTGACTGATTGACTGTCTGAGTGACTGATTGACTGTCTGAGTGACTGATTGATTGTCTGAGCGACTGACCGACCGGCCTGACTGACCGACTGACTAGGTAGCTAGTTGGCCGACAAATGATTGAACCAAAATGGACATTAGTCACTCAAACCCTTTGAATGATAATTTGAAACCCACTCTTGTACAACGAGCTAGTTGTGACTACTTACGTCATGTTGGTACGCGGATTCAATTCTTGAATTATGGCAATGGTGACACCGCTGGACAGTTTGTCCGTGAAGCTGATTGTTCCGTAAACGAAAGCGCCGGATTTCTGAGGAATGAGTGAACAAATTGATTTGGAGATAATACCCAGCTTGAACAACACTGAGTTAATTATCTAGTTAAAAAAGGGTTCGAGTAACAACCGTGAAAATGTGTGATCATGAAAAGGGTGAAAGACTCTTATTTATTTATTTAATCACTTTCACCAGAGTGTGGTGAGGGTCGCACAACAGAGCGAGGCTCCAAATTAAGTGCGCCCTATATCCCACCAATCCCACCCCAGGGGAGGACATCCATCACACAGTAATCTCGTGTGTGGGAAATTAACGTCTCCTACCCCAACCCTGCAGGAGACGGGACCTCCATTTATTCGTCCCTATCCGAGAAGACTAGAATATCTAACCATTTCTTGATGTTATAGAAAGGTAGCAAATTCTTCTCAATTATTTTAAGACCCTGAGTGTTGGTCCGAAGAAGAAAAAAGGTCGCGTGCAGGCTTTTTAGAGTAACTGTATCGACATTCTCGTTCAAAAGTCATGATCTTTTCATTAGCAGGGGCGTAGCCAGGATTTTTCAAAGGGGGGTCACAGAGGCTACTCACCATTTACACCGCTGCTCTCCCGCGTGTATCAGCGGGCTCAGTCGTATTATCGCGGCATGAAGGCCCATATCAATGGCTTTTACGGCCAAGATATTGTGATGGCGTTTTCGCCACCTGAATATTGTAGGTTGTTTGCTCTAAAGAAGACCTACAAAGGGGGGGGGGGTCACGGGCACCCCAGGACACACCCCTGGCTACGCCCTTGATCAGTGCCTTTCAATCAACGGCTTAGAAAAAAAGAAAAGGCTCTGAAGGCTCTGTGGAAAGTCATGTTCCTGATGTGGTTTTGTTTATGGCTGTTTGACTGTTTTACGAATAGAACTTATTCGATAATAATAATAGTAATAATAATTATTATTATTATTATTAATAATATATAATAATAATTAATTATTATTATTATTATTATTATATATTCGATAAGATCCATTCCGTTGAGCAAAACGATCTTGGCTCTTGGGACAAGTTTAATAGGAAATCGCGTTTTGTGTTTGTTTACCTTGTCATGACCAATCAGCTCTGCTATAAGAGACAATGACGTCACTAACATAACAGATCCCCCACATCCCATAATAACTGCAGTGACGTAAACAATATTCTTTCCTTTAATGTCTTGAACGTAGAACCAAAAGCAAGCACTCATGGCTAGCATAGATCCCAAGGAAAATGTTATCTGAGAGAGAAACATTGAGATTAATATCACGCAATCAGAAGCCTTCTAAGGGAATAAAAGAGGAAGAAGAATTAACCTAATGGCAACTACACAGGACTCCGGGTTGGGAGGTACTGGGTCCGGGCTCGAGAAGTAAAGGGCCACTGTGTTGTGTTGTTGTGCAAAACACATTGCTTTCACAGTGCCTCTCTCCATACAGGATTATAAATGGGGAAGCCTGATGAAACGTTTGGGGACGGGGGGGGAGAGGAAGGGTAACCTTGCGATGGACTGGCATCCCATCCGGAGGGGGGTAGTAATACACGATAAGCTGCAGCTAGATGGGCCACATGGTTCGATTACAGACTTAACCTCAGGGGTTAAAAAGACCACTCCTCAGTATTATTTAAAAGTTATAACCTTACTTTACTGCCAAGCCTTTTGTTCAGTGGTTTGACCGTTCCACTGGCAAATACACCACTAATCAGCACCACAAGAGGAAAATAAGCGATAGCTTCCTAAAAAACAGAAACAATCACAAATTCGACTCGTCAATTCATCAAGGAATTACCTTCGAGGTGGGACGAATTTATCTAAACTTGAACCTGTTCCTGATAAAACAATGCGGAAAAAAGAGGGAGGTTTAAGTCGAGATGCAACCCAAACCTCCTTCGGTTTCGCTCTGCCACTTCGATGGCGCTGTTTACTAATTGGCTGCGTTTTTCTGATTGAACAACTGGAACAGGCCGAGTATATAAACCTCTACGATATATGATCAGTTATATACTAACCTTTTCAAACTTGAGTGTTTCCGTCAGGTAAAGTGGTAAATATGACTGAGACACGTTTACAACAAGTCTACTGCAAGTGTAAACTAAACCAGTCTGCAAAGAGAGAGCACAGGGAATCAAGATTGAAGTGACTACTTGAATCCTGTGGGAAATTCAGGTTTTTAGTTCTCTGTTTCTGATATTTCTATTTAGTTACACCCAGATTAATTAAAGATGTTTTTCAAGTGCGAATGTGGTATAATATCGCACGTCCATCTGGAATCAACCAATCATGTGTCGCAAATTCACCACAAGTGAACAACCTCTGCGGCTACTCTATTCTTTCTCCGCCAAAAAAATTGTAAGGTGAAACAATGCGAAAATAAGACTATGTGGTTATGATGAAACATTCTACCCGGTGAGAAAATTCAACAGTTTTAAACACATACCTTATAAAACGCGGGGTCTTTTAACCAGTCTTTCCAAGTTTTTTGGCCTCCTTTTGCTGCACTTCTATCGATAATATCATACTGACCCGGAGATTCCGCCTGTTTTTCTACCAGTGTTGATTCAATGGAGGTGATCTCATCACTGCACGATGAGGATGATGCTGTCTCTGATTTTCCGCATACACGAGTGGTTACTCGCTGAGATGAACGACAAGCCGAAGGTGAAGGATCACAATCAACTTTGAGAAGAGCTGGTGCAAAATAAAACGTTTATCGATAATCACTGATAATCATTTAGCAATAATTAAAATTCAATTATTATTGATTGCAGGGTAGCTTATCTATTAACCCGCAAAGCAGACGTAATTTGAGGGAGTGAGTGCTCTGTATTTCCCTCGCGAAAAAATAGCCGCCATCTTCGATTGTTATGGCAGCGCAAGGCTGGGGAAGGAAATAAATTTGTACCAAGGGGTTGAGTGACAGTCAAAAATAAGGTGAGGGGCTGGGGGGGAGTCTTCTTGCCCTTCCCCCGCCCCCCACTCCTACCGTCCACTTTGACTCCAAATCAAGCATGGCGTTCGGATAAACGACTACGAATGGCTAATAATCTTAACTCGCCCTAATAAAACGCCCCCACTGTAGGCTTCTGATATATCCGTTGCGAAAAAAATTAACGATTGCATAGCTAAGGCCAAACAAGAAAGTGCTCCAAATCGAGGAATTTTATAAGCTTGTGTATGCAAGGATTGAGCGTGAATTTCAAAGCTTGATTATTCTTTTGAGTCATTCTAAAAACTGAAGGCCGGGTTCGGAAGTCTATGGTAACCTGATCTGCTTCGCTTATCAAAACATGATTTCACTCACTCTAAAAATTTAATGTTCATATGTATATTATAAACTGATCTAACCAGATACTTTAATACATCTCAGCTGTATTACATACAACCTCCAGCGAGCAAAACGTGACCCTTAAAAATCTCAGAACCTTCACCTTTTCTTTCACTGGTACCCTGGACTCGTTTTTTCTGCCGTTCCAACAAGGCTTCTGAAGGAGGTTCTCTCGTTCCAACATGGAAAATGATATTAAACAACGTACCAGTTCCCACCACAATAAAACCCAGATACTAAATGAAAAAAAATATGAAAGAATTTAGGACAGTTGTAAAGAAGAATGTTGAGCTTAGACGTTCATTCGGAGATTCGGAGTGTTGTTTCTCCTTCTGGCCTCGGTTGTTGCTAACTATGGTTGTTCGAAGGATGGATAACGCTATACACTGGAAAAATCTCTATCCGGTGGATAGCGCAGTACGTTTTGGTAATACTTATCGACTGGATAGCGATTTATCTGTTGGATGGTGTTATCCGCTCTTCGAACACGGGGCCCTTAAAAGAATGTGAGTCTGTTACAAGCTCATCCTGCCCTCCCCTTCCCCCCCCGGCATTTCGTCAGATTTTACTGACAGTTTCTCCTGTACCCATTCATCCCATTAACCCCGGCTTTTCAAGGATTGGATAACGATAAATCTTCATCCGGTGGATAGCGCAGTACATTTTGGTAACACTTATCGGCTGGATAGCGATTTATCCGTTTGATAGCGTTATCCGTCCTTTATACAATTGGACCCTAGATGGAGAGACAGGCACTGCGAAAGGGAAAGTATCTCGCTCAAAAACAAAACACATTGACCCAGCCGAAGCTCGGACTGAGATCAATAGATCTGAACTCTGGCGTGTTTAGATCCGAGGACACAAGGCTACTGCTTTCCGCACCAAGTTATTGCCCCGTAGAAATAAATCGTTCTTTGTTCTGGTTCAATGGCCATAATATCGAAGGAAGAGTTTCTTTGGGAGTGTAAACGTACAAGATGAGATTTACTTCGTGACACCAACTGAACAGCGCTTGTGTGTCTCACCATAAATTGCTTCCAAACATTCGGGGAAAGTGTCTCTTCATTGCTTTGACCAAGAAGAATCCACGTGACTCCATAAACGTAGATGCCACAAAGAAATGTAAGAGCGGACCTGTTAACAAGAAATCATCTGTGTTAGTGACGCCATAATAGCTTACCCTCTCACAGGCCCTTCCAGGCTCTCTCAGTCAGTGGAGACGAGGGAAGAAACGGGCAGAGGACATAGGGCGGACAAACACAGGGCTTCGCTGTTTTCTGCACGCCCGCTTCCTAAGGATGTCACACAACGCACCCGCCTTCCCTCCCCCCCCCCCCAAAAAAAAAATTGCATTTTTTGACGTCCCAAGGATCGGCTGCAAACGACTCGGGCTTTTTCCTACATTTCCACCCACTGAGAGACTGAAAAGACTCCGCTTAACTATAGTAATCACATGAATACACTCTTCCCTTTACGCCCTGACATCAGTATCCATATTCTCCATACTGCTTTCTATACATTTTCAAAGGTGCGTGCTGGCAAGGAGAATTTGTTTAACAATCAAGAGCTTCCTAAGTTGATGATTATTTCCTTTATTCTCGTGACCTTAATGTGCCGAATGATGTGTGAGAATTGAGATGCTAGCACTCTGAGGGTTCAAAAGGTCAACGGGTGAAGACTCCAGTCCAGGGACGTGACGCTTAACGCAAACACCTTAACGTCTTTTTCTTAATGTATAAGAATATTGTTTTCTTTTGACAGAGAAATGTGATGTTCACATCATACTACACACCGAAGGATATCAGTTTATAGTCCATTGTGGTCTGTTCTTAACAAAACTACTAAACCCTCCAAATCTACTGATTTATCCAAATACTACCTCATGTAACCATTAGAACTTCTTAGCTTGAGAACGTTTCAGACCCAAAACTTTAACAAAATTGTTACCCTTGATAATAGGTGTTCTTCCACAAAAAAAAAAAAAAAGAAAAAGAAGAGCCTGTCCTAGCCTCCTCGCAGAAGTCCTTGCTAAATTTTCTCATGTACCACAGTGAAAGAAGGAAAAATTAAAATCATGTGATACTCTTATCGCAAACCTAAAAGATTTTTACATCCTTTCTGAAATTTTACAACTTAAGTCTGCTCTCTCCGCTCTGGCTTTGAATTCGCGTTTATATTACCTTATAGAGCGATAAGAATTCGTCTTCAAACAAATCTTCAGTTGCAGTTTTAATTAGAAGTTCACGAGTTTCAGTCGCATTGCACAATTACCATACTGTAAACCATACGCAATTACCATACGTATATGCGTACCGATTTTAACTACCTTGCAAATGGAAAATATAAAGGATTTGGAGAGCGCTATAAATCCAAAAAAAAAAAAAAAAAATGCACACTCACCGGAACGCACTAAGCTTAACTCTTTCGCTTTCCCGTTTGCTGATTTCAGAATCAGTGATAAGTGTCCAATTTCAGTGCATCCCCAACCAAACCCAAATACCATAGAAAATCCGGTGTAGTATGAAAATTTCACAGAATTGCTGCAGCCCAAGCATCGATTAAAAATGAAAGGAAACGATTTCCCAAGCGAGTGCCATGATTTTCGCCGTCCGTATTCAGTTGCACTTTGTTTTATCGCACAATACCCCAGCAACAGCGTGCAAATACCCTCGAAACTGAACTTGACCCTAAAGCCGTACAAAACCTGTGTTGGCGTTTGAGAGTTCAGCTACTTTAGTGAGAAATTCCAGGAGGTAGCTAAACCAAGCATTACCTGCTAAATCGTTTAAAACATGGCCAACTGAGTAACACAAACGCTGAGTTAAAGAAAGCCTGTCTTTCTTGGATACTATTCTATCCGTAAAACCGGAAAACCAACGGAACGCGTACATAGGAACCGACTTCCTACACGAGGACTAAAGTACTTTGTCTTGCCAAGAGCTTGTATGAGCTTGCAAAATTTGCATAAAACAAATATGATTATTGACGCATCGGGCCCCAGGGATCTCCGGAATCCAATCATGAGTTGTTGAAAATCAACCAACACGATTTGGTTCGAAAAATTGTTACTCAATAAAACTAAACTTTATAGTTTTGCTATGCAATGAGCATTCCATTTTGAATGTTAGAAATTATTTAAGTGTAGCGCTAGAGCTGCCCACTACATTAATTTCACCGAATCAAACCACCAATTGTTTGTGGTTCATTAAATATTGGGTGCCAAAATTAATGATTTTTGAAAAGGGTCTCCATCTTTTCGCCTCCATACTAGAACACAACTCTTTTTTTAGGTAAATCTTTTCTTTTTTTGTAATTGATTTTAGATGATCGATTTTACAGCATGCGTGCATAATTTTAGATGATTTTACAGCATGCATGGATGGACTAATTGATATTTATTTCAGTGTTGGAAAAAGATACGTTATTTATCATAAAAACAGTTTTAAAAAAAATTGTTTTTTCTGCATCTCGTCTAGCGGGTTATATTTCATGACGAAGTAGGAGTTGACGTTACTCAAAGGTTATGCAGTGATCTAACATTCGCACAAAATGCCCTCTCGGGCAGTTCTTTCTAGAGGAATTATTATTCCTTCCTCTACGCAATGTAAAGGAAATCCTACTCTTCTTAAAACGACAGTTTATGACGTCTTAAACCACAAAAGCAGTTCGATAATGATATGGAATTTTAAGCGCCTTCGACAATCATCTCAACTGTTTGACACTTCCTTCCGTTGCTCGCCCCTACGTTAAATTTTTTTTTTTCCCTGAGAAAGTTTCACCAAGCGAGAGAAGCCTTTGCAGCAAGCTAAAAAAATTGAGCAAGGCTTGCACTACAATTTCATTTTCTTCACGGCGATCTGCTGGCACAGCCTGCCCCAACATAAACAATCCTGATCCTGAATAGTGCGTTAGAGGTTGCGTGACACAAGTGGTTGCGTGACACAAGTACAGTAGTTGAAGAAGCCTCAGCACGAAAACAAACTATCTCGTTGGTTCGCTGGCTGTGGGAACTCCAAGCACATAAAAAAAAAAAAAAAAAAAAAAAAAAAAAAGAAAAAAAAAGCACACAGAAGCCGAAAAAACCCTAATCCCTCTGGCCAAATCAAAATATATGCAAATTGAATGTTGAAGAGGCATCACGCCAACAAAGCTGGCACGCAAGGTATGACAAGGTATGATATCTGGAAAAAATGATCAAGGCTTGGCTTTTTGCACGTAACCAGGAATTTCTCCGTTTTTAGCCGTGCTGGAGTGATCTACTTTATTCAAACTGCATTAGGTTTTTCAAACGATCAAAATTCCACATTTTTTAAAGTTTTTTTGGCCGTGTGACCCACCAAGTTGCTTAGCACAGCAAGGGTTTGGTTTCTTTTCCGGAAAGTGTCTTAATTATGTACCGACAAGTACCTGCCAGACTAACAAAAACATAATTTTTATCGCGCATAAAATATTCACGAAGCCAAACAAAAATGTAAACTTCGATTCAATTTAAACAACGACTAAAGATAATAGACAACACAACATATTTTCAAAGAGCAGCACACAAAATTTTAACTCGGTGGAGAAAATAGTACAGCAGTATTACGAAAAATTTTCCTAGTTAAAATTTGCCTGTGGTTTCAGCAGTATTTGGCTTTTTCTTACCTTCAGAACTAGTTTCTGATTGAGTTGTTGATTCTTAAAACCTGTTATGCATATCTATAAAGGGATTTTTAATAGAGAATTTCTACTACCCATGATCGTGATTAGCGGCAAAGAGGCACTGCAATCGAGACACCTACCTAATAGCATTCAGCTCGACCCGTTCACCCGCTGACTTGGATATTTCTGGTATCAGCGACAAATGACTGACTTGAACACATCCCCAGCCTAACTGAAGAACACAACCACAGATTACGTAGTACGTGAGCTTTACTGCCTCACTGCTATCCTGGCAACCGGGACATCGGTTAAACAAAAGAGGGAAGGCTAGTGTACTGCAGACTGTTCCAATTAAATGCCAAGTTTTACGCCGGCCATATGTATTTACTGTGCGATCGTTTAGAAATCCGCTGAATGGTGTACAAGTCGCGTCAGTTATTTGACCGGCGAGTATGACCAGCCCGGCATAAAAGTTTGACAACCCTGCGACCTTGGTGAGGAAAATTATTAAATAGCTGAACCATGCATTAGCTGTCAAATCATTGTAAATATGGCCCACTCCGTGTGAAAACTTTTGCCCAATGGGAAGACGTTCTTTCTTGCCAGCCTTTTTTAAGGTGGAATCCTTGTCGTTGAAACTAGCACCCAAACATTTGAAGACAGCCATGCTTCAGGCTGTAAAATGTGGTTTAAATGTAGAAAACAGGAATTTCCGGGCTCAGTAGTCAATAGGTGTGATATCGTTAAGGGGGCACACGTATTTGCGTTAACATCTGATATGATTAAGTGGCTTCAAAAATTTTCTGACTCAAGAGATGATATTTTCATCTAATAAGCAAAATATTGTTAATTGTTTGCATTTTTTAAAGAAACAGCCGCAACAGGTTACTGCAAAACACCGACGCGAAGAAATGACTAAATTAAAAGCTAATTAAACATTTACTCTGATTACAAGCGATCTTTGTTTCAATCAAATGCGGCCTTGAAATGCTTTGATTTCCCCGCTGCATAAAGCTGGGTTAGAAAAGTCTTGTGACTGACCCGTGATATACCTACGCCTACGCCTTAAATAAATTGTACAACCAAACAATTCTAACCCTGTACAACATCCATATTTGGTAAACGAAAATGTAGCAATAATAAAAGAAAACACTTGTCATGATAATTTTCGAGAAAAAAGCGAGTCACATTGATAACTTCATCACACAGAAAAATCTAAGACTTTCCTCTTTGTGAAGGTGTAGTCTGATCGTCCGGGTGAGTGTAGTCCTGAGAAGGACTGTTGTCGGTGGCAGTGACTGACGTTTCGACAACCTGTGCGGAAGTCATCATCAGAGTCACTTGACTTGAGAAAAAAAACGGGCAGTACACCTACACTGGCCTATCAAAGCTAAAATCGGGCGGGTAATAACTAATCAGGTTCGATAATTTTGTTATAGCTTTCATTATGGTCAAATAATGGTTAAAACATGGTAAGATATCACGGATCGATGAATTACATCTGGCGAATCACTCGCTAGATCACACGAAGTTTTAACTATTTTTATTGGACGTGTCTATGTTTAAAACCTCCAAATACCGCGTTTGTCTCCTATCACTTAATAATTTAAATAAGAAATATTCCAGCTTTGTCCCACTTAGCCATCGCTTCGCTTTTTTTTTTTTTACTTAGTGGTGAGAAGTTAAATACTAACAAAGATGGTACAAAGAGTATAAAATTCGGTGACAAGACAATGCAAAAAATCACTTTGCAACCCTGGAAATCGAAGTAATATAAGGAAAATATAAGAGAACTTAGAAGTAAATCATTTGGAGTTTTTCGTCACGGACGAATCAAGTTTCCACGACACACAGTGTCTAAATTCAGTGTTGTCGAGGTTACCTCGACACTCGACAAGTCATTGCCGCTTGCCTAACCCTTTCACTCATAGGACAGACCAAAAATGAATTCCCCCTCTCAGTACTACTACGTTTTGAAACTGGAAGATGATGAGAAAGTGGAGAAGATTTTAACAAGAGAATATCGTTCGATTTACCACCCAATTTTCAGGGGGAAAATTGTAAGCAATGTGAGGCAGACGGTGCAGAGAACTCGTTTCTAGATCTGAGAGAGCAAGTTTAGCTGCAAAGTAACGCAACAAAATCACGAAATGACAATGTCAGTTGTTCCTTTTTGGCATCACCATCTTCATCAAGGTTAAAAGCATTATCAGTATGATTGCTGTATCTTCAATCTCATCCTTGTCGTTGTCACGTTACGTTTCCACCTTCATGAGTCCTAAAAATTCCTCTTCTTATTTTTTCTTTCTTTGTTTTTTGGCCCGCCACCGTTATGGGAAAGTCAAGAACACCAGTTCGAGAAATCACGCCCTTTCCCATCCCACCACAAATATATTCTTGCAACTCACATATGAACGTTGTCGTGCTATAACTTAATGCTTTACCGTTATTTTATTAAAAATAAATCCTAATCGACCTGAGAAAAGGCTTTTTTGTTCTCTACTGCAATGACACATCCCACACCACGATAAATTAATACGTTCCCACGGGGCACTCATCGTATTCAGAACTGCCGGGCTATAAAATCGTTCTTCGATCTAACATTGGAGAAGGAGGCGATGCAGAAGCCAGTCGCATGGCAACATAGCTCTGCATTGTGGTTTTCTTCGGGTGAAAGTTCCGCGATTCAATAGAACAATCAAAAGTTCTGTTTTGCATTGCACATGCTCCCTTTTCTACGCTGTCGAGGTTGCAAGCTTCGCTGTCATCCTTCTCTGTCATGGAGGATGTTTCCACACCACTTGAGCTGGTGTCTCCATCGCCTAGGATTTCATCAAAATCAACTTGGACTGCAGCGTCCGTTGTCGACGCTAGAATGAACAAAATATCATTATACTGTGTATCGTGGATTTTCGACGACTGAATAGGAAACAGTAAAACCCGGTGTACAAAGGGCGCGAAGGGCACAACTTTTGATGTCTTCTTCTGAGAATGTTGAAGATCATTAAATCGCTTTTTAAAACATATAAAACATATTGAAAAAGTCTAAACTAGGACTAGGGGGCGAGACAGAAAGAGACAGAAAGAGAGTAAGTGGTAAGTAAAGAGAAAGAAATGGGAAGGGGGTTAACGAGAAGGAAAACTTAGTGGCAAGTAGATCATCATTCCTTTGGAACCCTGCTGACTTCGGCCAACATAAAACATATTAAATTTCTCAAAATTGGATTAGGTTTTCTCATGGAATCTATTCACTGCATAAATGTTGACAAATTCTACTCAGCCATTATTGTTCTTGGCAAAACTTGTTTTTTACGCCGAAGATTTTTTATATTCTTCTGGTTAATTTTTTATCAAGAAAAATATGGATCCAACGGCAAAATAACGAGTCCTCACCTCTTTTCTTGCACACGAAAATGGATTCAAAGAACATCATTACTGACACAAGTGCGAGAAGAGCAACCGCGCCTGGTACTATGCTTTGCACGTGACGCGTGTATTCATCGCACGTGAAACATTCAGCTCTGCAAAAGAAAACCTGCCCTGAGACGCCATATTAAAAGATCAATTCTTATCCCTTGACATATACTTCTTTCCTCAACTGCGAGAACTAAGCAATGGCTGTTTGTGATCCGCGCTTTACGGTTCCCGCCGAATAGAAAGAAATCTGCGACAACAAGTAAGATTACTGTAATCTTCCCGATATGACGGCGTCCACTGTTTAAATTTTATCAACTTTGAAGAAAATTTAGGTTATTCGTGGAACTTTGAAACGCGGAAGGAAACATGAAGATGAATACCGTGACCGAGGAGATAAAAGTTACATGCAAAGAATCAAATCAATTTCAACTTACCTCTGATCTTTCCGAGGATTTAGTTGCTGAATAACAGCAAATACGGCGCCACTGAAAACTTTATCAAAGAATCCGATAAAACCATACACGAAAGCTCCGGATCTCTACAACGAAAAAGCCAATCATTAATTGAAAAAATAAAACACTTGTCAAACAGAACAAAGTGCACGTTCCTCTCCCTACAGCTGCTAGGTAATATCATGTTTGTTGTTTACCTTATCTTGGCCAATGAGCTGTGCGATTAAGGAAAATGACGTCACAAGCATGACAGAACCACCGCTGCCCATAAGCATAGAGGTCGCGTACACGGCAGTCCGTGCGTCAATCGTTTGAACAAAGAACCAGAAGCTAGCACTGACGGCCATCATGGCGCCCAGGCAAAATGTGATCTGTGGATAGAGAAGAGAACTAGATACGTTAGAAGAAGGGTCCATCAACAAAAAACGATTCGCTGCGTGTATGATACCATGAATGAGTGCGCACTGAATTCTGGGTCGAAAGGTATGGCAAAGCGCTGTACTCCCACAGCACACCTCCAATCCAAGGAAAAATATTGTCATCCGGCAAACTGACTGTCCAACGACACAACAAGGCTCGCTTATGTTTCCAGAGAGCTTACCATTTGTCTTCATCGATAAATTGTTTAACATCTCCCTTTCTCTTTATAACGAGGAAAGGAGGTTTACGGCTTCTTCAAATCCAGCAAATTTTACTGATTTTGTTCTACTAAGAGGTGCTATAAGGAGCAGAACGAACCTTGCTACCAAGGCGTTTATTAAGTGGTTTGACAGCTGTACTTGCAAAAACTCCTGTCACCAGCACGACCAAAGGAAAGTAAGCAATAGATTCCTGCAATGAATATTGTAGTTAGTAATAGTCACAGAGCTAAACACTTATGTTGCTCGGGTTTGAATACGGAGCCCAATGTATTGCTTGAGGATGAAATTTCACTGCATCCATTTTCCTTTCAGAAATTCAAATACATAAGGCGGTTGTAAATTCCATTCCGACTGGAGACACACAATTGAACTAGAGAAAACAAGACTTCCCTGACACTTTCGTCCGCGTTTCCTCAAGAACTTCTCCGTTAAAATTCTCCAACTATAAAATACATTTCAAACCCAAACATAACTTCCTTCCCACGTATAAAGAGGTTCTCAAATCTATTCTCTGTGTGTGGTTGAAGAGGCAAGATCATGGAGGATTGTACAGCAGAGAAAATGACGCAAACATTCAACTCTTGTTAAGATAGAGTGGCTCACCTTCTCGAATCGCATTGTCTCCGTCAAATAAAGTGGTAAATATGACTGTGAAACATTCACGTACAAACGCGTACAAATGTACACGAAGCCAATCTGTGACGAGAAGAAAAAAAAACAATCGAGTCAAAATGCTTGGGCCTAACACTTGGCCATGGGTAAGCAAGGGCCTCCATTGACGTTTTCGCAGGAACACTCACTTTATACATTTCAGGGCTTGTCATCCACTGGCGCTTGCTTTTTCCTCCGCCAAGAATAGCTGTTTTATCGGTTATATTTAGCGTTGATCTCCGTGTTTCCTCGTTTTCCAAGCATACTGGACACTCTGTTCCTTCGCTATGATCTGCCGCTTTCTTCTTCTCTTTCTCTTGCAGTGTCATCACCACAGCAGGCGAAGCTCCGCTTCTTCTGCTTGGAAATGGCGGCGGGTACACGGCCCGTACCAACAGACCTGCGTTCAAATGAAAAGTGTGGACTTTCTGTAAGCAACCAAAGAGTGAGGTCTGTTGTCACTGTCGCGAGGAGTAAGACACTACGGTCTGCTCATTGGGTAAGAGCTTGTTTTGTTATTACAGTTTCAGTTCATGCCAAGTTGTATCGTTGAACTTCACAGTTTTCAAGCGTAATGTATTCTCTGAATCTGCGATTTTTTGGCGACACAGTGACACCCTTCAGCAGAAATTAACTCTTGGAATTTAAACTGTTCAAAGGGCCACATTGGTTTCATTCAAGAAGAAAAACATTGAAACGACCCTCGCTGGAGGCAAAATTCTGTTATTCTTTAAGCACGGTATCAGTTGTATCTTGCCGTGTTATCGTACTTTCGATTCATTAAGTTCTGCATTTTCCAGTGCTTAACCGTTCAATTTTAACGTTTACTTCCCTCCCCTTGATCTGCTTTACACTCTAAACCTCCAAAATTTTGATAGTAAAGTTGTAAAGAGTTGGTCTTATCTCTTTCTCTCCCAGATCTCATTAGTAATTCTCCTTACTGTCTGCCATTTAATTCTTATGATTTTAGAATGGATAATTTGGTATTGGATCGACTAATAAACCCCTAATTGATGTTTTTCTTTATTCCCATCACTTCGCTGCTTTATATTCTATTGATATTGTTAGGAGAAATTCTGTCTTGGTCACTCGTGGGAGTGAAAGGGTTAAGCAAGTTTGTTCCATCTACCTGATCAGTTTGTAAATTCTTATCACCAGTCTGATGGATAATTCACTTAAATTGGCAGGAAAAGTTAGAAGTTGACATCTGAGCGTCAAGCCTTCTGTGGCTAAATCACCTTTTTTTTCGGTTCCTCTCCGCCTGAACTTGTGATTGCCATTTTTACGTTCCTCTAACCACTTCAGTAACGCATCAGAGGGAGGCTCTTTGATTCCAACGTGGAACACAATGTTACACACAGTGCCAGTTCCGACGATAATAAAACCAAGATACTGAGAAGAAAATTAAGAAAAGGTTCGTACTTCGAAGAAACTTATTCCAGCTTCAGTATCACTGTGTGAGAAAAAGCGTTACTTATCCCGCTAGGTGGGGTTTTAATCAAACGTTAGTAACTTGCTAGCATTTCCCCAGTTTGCCTGGCAGTGTGTTGGCACCCATGTACACGCCAACAAGATATTAAACGTCAAGCATGCACAATGGGATCACTTTTGGGCTGGCTGCGTGCCACTTTCCCGCACAAAACTTCAAAGGAAAGCGTAAGAAACAACCACTCTCCCACAAAAGAAAAAAAAAAAAAACCTAGAAAAGGGAAAAGTTCAAGGAAATCTGTAAAAAGAAACAAAAGCTGGGAAAAGGAAGACTCGATACTTTTGAATACAAAGCTTATTCAAGTACGGGTATCCTGTTAATTTACCATTCTGTTTTGAGCTCTACCAAAAATGGGTTCTGCGGCTTACTGGATTGAGTGACTGTTTTTAACTCATATGAGGCAACTTGGTTCTACAGCCCGAAAGCACGTTACTAAGTCGTTCCAACATTCGCACATGCACAGATGTTTGACCATTGTGTTTAATACAGCTGAGTAGAGAGAGACCGTGTGAGGCTACAACCTGAATCACAACACAAGGGATTCTGCCATTTAAGACAATCAGCTGTTTGTAAGAGAATAGACTGTGGGATTCCTAAGGTACTATTCATTGCCTAGTAATGATGATGCAATTTTGGAGAAAGTCTTTTTCTCTAAGACCATGTTTTATCATTCATAAAAATAAACAAAGTTCTGTTAACTTAAGAATAGCCACTCAAAAGAAAATTTTTTAAGAACCCAAGTTTCAAGTTGTAGCTGGTTCTATAAAAGCTTCTTTAGACTTTTCAAAGTTTGAATCTCATTTCTTTCGTTCACTAAACTGGAGCATACACGGATCAATAAAAAGAAGCTCTCCAGGTCGCAGCCGTTCTTTAAGATGTCACGCAACGCTTACTCAAAAGAGGAATAATGGTAGGGCTTACGTGACACCTCCTCCCAAAAAAGGCTGCTAAAAAAAATAAGTAAACAAGCAACTTACCATAAACTGCTGCCACATAGAGGACGAAATATTTGCCTCTGAGCTTCTTCCTAACAGAATCCATGTCACGCAAAATACAAAAATACCGCAAATAAATCGTAAAGCCGAACTGAAAAAAAATTGAGAAGCGTTATTCGCGCGAGTCTTCCATTACAAACAACATCGTGTTGACTCACACACTCCATTATCTTTCTGACATTCTTGAAAAGCCGACCTTCGCAATTTGAACCCCTTCTGTCTAAGTACACAGGGGAGGGGAGGGGAAAATAAGATTAAAATAATTAATTATGACCCCACAAATATGTAGATTGGCAAATGTTTGTTTTCTTGGTCAAGTTCAAGTTCAACAATCATCCATAGTCTCTACTTCATCAATCTTACACTCGAATTCATCGTTTTACTTGCGATGAGACAAAAAGTAAGAAATTTCTTAGACCTGTGTGTATTTAGAATAGAAAACTATAATGTCTTGCGAACGGAAAACTATATGTCTTGCGTGATGGCCCCCCTTTGCAAGACTAATAAATGTAGATGTAGATAATTTTAGTCGGATGAATTGACTTCGCACGTACGGCAGTCAATCGACCGGTTAACAATTTTGAGAGCCACAAACTGAATCCTCGCGGCAAGATCTGACTTATCAATTACGAACGCAATGTTTCTAGACCAGATACGTGTCTATTAAGACTTCAAATGAACAGAAAAAGAAAACCATCGAAAACAGCGCTAATAACACACATAGAACATCCGAGTCACGTACACTTTTTTTGTATATTACGTACATCTGCCGCTCCCCACGTGAGCAGAGAAAGACAAAATGGCTCACTAACTTTCAATAAATATCCGGCGTAAAACTCAAACCAAACCTGGGGTAGCAAAGTGAAAGATGCGAAAATATCTGGTAAAAACCGGTTTCTCGGTGAAGCAAAATGTTTGCTTTAAAATTAATGGCGCACTTGTGGGTAAAATTATGATTGCATTACTCTTCGTTACAAGATCAGAAATTTGACAAATATAATCAATACTTCGAGGCACACCTCTAATATCGTAACCTCTATCAATATACAACTCTGTAAGAAATTTTCAGTTTCTTAGACCAACGTTTCGAATCTTTAAATTGTAACTGGCAGAACAAAGGGTAATGCAGCATAGAGCTGATGGAGAACAAAGCCCAGAAAATTAAACAAAATAACCTACATCTAGCAAGTTCACCGTTAAGCTTATTAAAGTGAGGACGTGAAATCACTAAACTAGAAACGTATGTTAAGCATATAAGAAATTAACAAACATGAAAAAAAGCATGTTACTATCATATATTTGCTTCTATGAATATTAGGTGAAAAATAATTTGAGCGCCCTTACCTAATAGCATTCAGCTCGACTTTTTCGGATTCGCTAATAGCAATCTCTGGGATTAATGACAAATGACTGATCTGAACACAACCCCAGCCAAACTGAAACAAGGCAGCGATGCCGATGTAATAAGCAAGCTTCAAAGAGGCGCTAGCTTCATCACCAATGAGACGTGTAAATAAAAGCGGGAATGAAAAACTGACACAGATTGACCCCACTACATGCCATATCTTTCTTCGACCATATCGGCACACAGTCCTGTCGTTCAATATTGCGATGATCGGTGTGCAAACTCCGTCGGTAACTTGTCCGAGTAAGACAACGAGTCCTGTATGACTGTTTGACAGTCGAACTACTTTTGTCAGGTAGATGATTAGGTAGCTGTACCATGTGTTAGCAGCGAGGTCATTCAGTATGTGCCCAACGCCGTAACAAAATTTTTGACTGACGGCTAGACGATTTCCTTTAAAAACCTTTTCCTGCGATCTTTTGCTATGAAAAAAATTCGCAAGACGGTTCATAGTTTGGCCACTATTCTGTTTGCCTCGATCTCAAAATAACGACTTATGAACAGGGAAAACTCCTTCGAAAGCAGACCACATTCAAAGTAGAAATTCGCTGCCATGTAACTGAATCACCACCTATATTGCGTCATAAAAGGGTGTGACATGTGTTGGGTGGCGTGATGCGATTTCAGAACACGAACATCGCTCAACCAAGGTCAAAGTTTCTTCAAGTCTGGCCTGACGTCAGTTCATCAAAAGAAAAGCATTTTCGAAAAGAGAAGGATGCCAGATTGTCAGATGAAAGTTACTGTGGTGGACACACTAAGAACTGGGAAAATGATATATCGTTTTCACAGTTAAAAGTTATATATTAAATTTTCTGAAGACAGCCACCCACTTACGCTTGCCCTCAGGCAAATTTCAGAAAGTTGTTATCTTTCATCACTCGAATCACCTAATATATTTCCCAGCGACCCTTTATGATTCGAGCTTTGTAATGATATTATCCATTGAAATTCGGATCACACGAAATTATGAAAAAAAAATCGACCTTGATTATTTGTGACACATCGATATTCTATTATTCTTCCAACGGTTTTGCCTTCCACTCGGGGTAATTTTTTCTAAGGCAATTAAAAAACCATGACAAACTCAGACCTTGTGTAATATTTTCCTCAAAATAGGAAAAAACCGATTTCCGCCAATCGAAAAAACTGGAATCAGGGATGGCAAGGGATGGGGATTCTATAAATTTTCGACAACATGGAATCTGTCCTGTACAATCGCCGTTTCTTTCATAAACAGATCAAACCCTCTGACCTTATTCAGCCCCGTGAGCAGCAACAAAGCAACAACAGTTTATATCAAGGAATATTTCCACTTTTGTGTTATCAGATCACCCGAGCAAAGGCCAAGGTTTTCTGGTGACTTGCACATGACATAAACAAATCACGGTAGTGTTCTCCGTAAAAATCCCTAGTCAATTGTTAATATCATTCGTGCAGAAGTCATAGAACAATTTATGGCAGGAGACCTGGTGAATGAAAACAAGAATAGCAAATATTAATTCATTCAGCAGAAGAAAACTTTTCAGTATAATCTCAAAGTCGGTGTTCAATTCATCTCGTTATCAGTTTCAGGGATCCGTATAGAATGTGAAACGTGTTGCGAAATCCATTGTACTTAGAAAAGGATAAGTGAGTTGTATACACGGTACGTCAGAGATTCTTATCAAGACATCAGGCTTCGATTTGCAAACTCTATCGAAAAACAGCGAAAAAAATGTAATAAATTGTCGTCTTCAAGCGCCATATAAGTATACCAGATTAATTTCCGCACATTAAATTTTACGATTCGCTCGTATGTAATAAACTGCGAAGCCGGAAAATCAGTGTTTTTTGCTCTTTTCACGGACTGGTGACCGAAGTTGGAGACTTAGTATTTCGGCTAACCCACGCGATAAGATGTGCACGCTTCACGCGACTAAGATAAAATCAACTGGTCGTGTTTGTTCGTTTTCAATTGCGGAAGCATCAATTTAAATAATTCTGATAGATGAAATTAACTGGAGTTTTGAAACTACCCCATCATGAGTTCCCCATACGAACGCGATTGCCCAAAATAATCCAAAATGGAGGCTAGCACGCCTTCACGATCCCGCGGCATCGCTTTTTAGTTCGAAGTCATTGGCAAGAACGTCTTTCTAATCGCATGAAAAACGTAATATGAATGTTTAACTGTCTTTCCAGTCAGTCTGGCTTGTTGTCAACTATACTCGGCAAATATGTTTCTAATATAATCGCCGCGAGAATCAACCCCAGCATCTTCCCAACACGAGCAGTCGGTTCAATCCATTTGGCACAACTACCTCTCCCTTTCTTCCAATTTTTGACATCTCGATGTAATTCATTTTCGATTACAGTTCATAACAAGCGAGCTACAGAGTCGAAAACGGTAACATCGGCGACGTATCACTGCACGAACAATAACAACCAGGTAAAGTAGAACTAAAAAACTCACAGCTATCTCCAAGTCAGGAAAAAAAACAGTAACTAAGCCTATCGAGATTTCTCCAAGTCACCAGATTTGGTTTGTGCAACACTCCATGACATCACACGCGCCGCTGAAATAGTCATGGCATTTGTAATTGAAATAAGTTTCGAAACTAACGCGAACTGAAAACCAAAATTTTAAAACGAAAGTATAGATATAGATTATATCAGCAGAAAGCTAATTTTTTCCACAAGGTTTGTTTAAAGTACGCTCTTATTAAACGCCTAAATGTTTCGATTGAGTAGAGTAACGGAGGAGAGCAGGCTGATTGAAAGAAGAAAACCCAATTACACAATGTGGACCGCGCCTTTCGTGGTACTCGTGTTTCTTCAACTTGTCGGTTTCCCTGGTTTGGTTTTGTATTGTTTGCAAACCTTTTCTTGTGGAAAAAACACGAAAAGTCCCCATTTCAATTGCGAAAATGGTAGCTTCGTGGACTACAACACTGCAATGATTGTGGAATTGTCGTTTACTAGCACAGAGGTTCTAAGTCGTGTTATTTTTCTCTCTTTTTGTGTGAAGCTCAAAGGATGGAGGGGTATGTGGCAGATTTTAAAACGACTGTTTAAAGTTTCTCGAATGTGGCTTCTGGCATTTATCTGGGTTCTTTGTGTGGTGCGTTTCGGGTCTATATTGTACTGGATACCAGACTTGGGAACCATAGCCCGCGCTATCATTGCATTATACATTGTAGAAGCCTTTGCAATAACAATTGTAGCAGGCATGCTATCCTGTTTAAAAATCTTGGAGTTAGCTGAAGACAACATCGATATCACATGCAAAACTCGTCTCGTTATTCTGTTCAAGTGTGTTATCGCGAGCTTCTGGGCTCAATATTTTGTATTTTTGATCATTATTGCTTTTCAGTTAGCGTTCGACGTTTCAGAAGTTGATCCAACGTTTTTGCACGACGATTTTAAGAGAGCTCTAAACCTACTCAGAAAATCTGCGCAACTTGTCTTTATGAAACAAATAAGCGGCCGTCTTTGGGAAGCATTCTTTGCGGACGACAACCAGGATCAACAGCGATCATCAACAGAAACGGAACTGATGGAAACTGGAATGCTTTACTAGTATTGAATGATCGAACTTTTCCAGAGTTTCGATAAAGAAAATTGAATAATAAAAGAAGATATATTGTGCTCCCTCCAGTTAAAAAGTTAAACAGATCGTTTTTATAGCACAGTTAGCGATAGAGAATCTCACATATCATGCAAAAACAAATTAATTTGGATGTATCAACAAAGTTGAAATGGTAAATTGGCCACCGTAACGATTACAAAATTAATCGTTACAAATTAGTTTTAGACCATTATTTATTCACTTTCGAAAACCCATGGCAGTTTTCACAGTGATTAACCTCGAGGAAACGACTGAAAACGTGTCATGCTCATAGTTTCATCCAGCCGTGAAACTAACTTAATTTACATAGGAAAACGAGCCAAGATCAGAGCAGGGGTGCATTCCTCTAGAGACAGCGCCAGGTGTTTTGGACATTAGGGCCCTATTATAGACACTGGGGTCTGATTTTGGATACCAGTGTCAGAATTAGGTTAATAGTGTCTGATTATAGACACTAGTGTCCAATTTAGGCACTAATGTCCGATTGTAGACACTAATATCGTTGTTTGACACCAATGTCCGATTTTGCATACTAGTGTCCGATTTTTGACACTAGTGCTCGTTATTATCTGATCTTGGTTACTAGTGTCTGATTTTAGAAGCTATTATCCGATTTTAGACACCAGTGTCTGAGTTTTGAAGCTCTAACTGATATTATTTAGTGTTTTCTTTTTGACTCTCATTCCATTTCGCACGTTATCGGAAAGTTGACACTAGTTACCAATCCTTCTCGGAATCCAATATGGTGGACGAAAGGTTTCTGAGGCGAACGACCACTGACGTATCTTAACATCACTTTTTTTTACTTCAATCGTGGAATATTTTCCATGGATAACAAACGGTAAGGAGCCAGAGAAGGCTATTATGTAGATTTTCAGAATAAACTGGATAAAATTCTTGCTCACCTCGACACGTTCTGTGTCAGGCAAAAAATTGTCACCAAGTTAGGCGAGATATTTTTAATGTTTGTTTTTTAATATTTGCACCACGAGAAGCTTTTGATGTGCGCGCTATATAAATAATAATATTATTATTAATGTCGTTGAATTATTGGATTTATTAAAAAATGTAGGAAATCTAAGGCATGAACAGATATTTAATTTGGGATATATTCGTGGTTTTTCTAAAGTACAGCCAGCTGTTTATTTTATTTCAAAATGTGAAGGCCATCGTGGTCGTTACCTTCACGTCAATCGCAAGATGAGGTGTTTCTCACTCAAGAAAACTACAAGAAATACTCTTGTCGCCCATCGTTCGTGGAATATCTAGAGAAGCATCTAAAATCAGAAAAAGATCGAGAAAAAACTGTTCAAAATAATCATGATGACACGAAAGCAGATGTCTCCATAAGGACACAGGACGGTTCAGAAACCACTGAGAAAGGAGCTAGAAGCAAAGGTGCTGAGAAAGGTAGAGCTAAGAGTACCCCAACTTTTTTGGGCCCATCATTGGAATTCCCTGTTATGTCAAAAGTCAGCATTGAAAGTCAGAAGATGTTTGTTGAAATGTTGGAAGCGTTAAGATCTGGTCAGCTGGCCAAAGTCGATCTGCAAGAAATAAAAGCCATTCAGGTTTGTAAACAAATGAGTTGTTATTATCTGATACTTTTTTTCAGTTGGTGATATGACTTTAAGTATTAAAACAAACCAGTTAAAGTGGAGGAAAGATTGCCAAACTAAACCACTTACACATATGCACTGTTTATCCCTTTAAACCCTAAAAGTGACCAGTATCTAATTTCTACTTACAGCAATACTGCATAATTGTTATTTGAGATCATGAGAATAAATAATGGTAATTGAACTGAGTGGAGTGCAATTTGTATAGGTAATCACATGATTTAAAGTGCAATTTGAAATAAATAAGCACGGGTAAATTTTTTAAAAGACTAACAAAATTGCATGAGCCCGTTGGGCGAGTGCAATATGAGGTCTTTGAAAAAATTTGCAAGTGCTTATTAATTCCAAATTGCACGAGAAAATCATGTGATTATCTCTTAATAATATACATGAAAAAATAAGAGGTAGCTTCTCATAACTATGCAGAAGAAAAGTGCGAGCATCACTTGCAAAAATAATTTATTCAAACCCTGAAAGTGACATTGACCTTGACTTTGACATTGACATTGACCAATCGGAATGTCTGGTTTGTTTCTTTCTTTGCCATTAACCCTCTTCTGCACTGAATTAATTCTCTTCTGCACTGAATTAACTGAAAACTGCATTCATCTTAACCAATCAGAACTGAGAAATTTCTTCATGTATATTATTAGGGCTGAAATCATATATGCGTTGATTTCAAAATCGAACAAGTGTGCAGCGTGAGTTCAATTTGAAATCACAAGTATGATTTCAGACCAAAATTGCACACACAAGGTTCAGTTACCACTTTATTACATCCATTTTGAATTGCCCAAATATGGGACTTGGTCAATTCAAATATTTTACTGATGCAGTACTGAGTTGGTTTTTGAATAATAAGTGGAACCAGAAACCCTTTTACATCTTATTTTGTATGCAAAACAGAAAGACTGAGGTCATGTGTCAAAAACTCAGTCAAGTGTAAAATGATGCGATTTAGAGCAAAAAATGGTGCAATTCATGAATATATCGCACCAATTAGAGCCAATCAGATTACAGGGACAACCAGTGATTTCAAAATGGATGTAATAAAGGAAATTATCACCAACCCTAGAAACTTCAATTTTTCCTTTCTCAGGAAATGTATAGAGAATAGTATGGAGAATATGCATACTGATGTTAGGGAGGATTAAGGGTTAAGCTACAATGTGTGGTAAAAGTCATGGCACCTTTATTTGCTTTCCTGCATGATTGTATCTGAGATCACCCTCCCCTCCCCTCTTTTACACCCCTCTAGTGTAACTTGAGTTTTTTCTTTCTTACCTTGTAGGTAGTGTGCAACATTGTATGTGGTCACTAGTAGTTTAGAAGGAGTTAGGAAAGCAGGGTTTATTCAGTATTGGAAAAGAAGTTCTGTAATTGAATCAATTTTCAAGGAACCTTACTCCTCGGCGCTCTAAGTGCTTTTGCCCTTCATTGCGACTTTCAAATTGCTACCCCCTCAGAAAATGGAGCACAGTATTCAAAGCATCTCAATCTAAATCCAAAGTGACATTAGTTTATAAAGAACATTAAAGTTTTCTCACCATTCCTCAATGGACTTATTATTCTAGGATATTAAGAATACAGTGATGCTAGAACAAGGTGATTATCAACAGTTTGTGCGTCGCCATGCAAAAGTCAACCATCACTTGTACAACTTTATCCACCCTGATGTCTGGGATGACTTCAAGGTAAGGAACTGTGATAACAGGAGAAATTTAACCTTCTATGGGTGACCAAGACAGAATTTCTCCCTATATTATCTATACTATATGAAGTAGACAAGTGATGAGAATGAAGAAAAATATCAATTTTAGGGTTGTTAATTGATACAATACCAAAATCTCTGAAATAATAATAATTTACCAATTTATATAGCGCGTATTTACATGCGCTGATCGATAGTGCCTTACATGTTGTTGTTAAGGTTGAGATCGGATGTCAGCATTTTATCAGGCGCCTCTGGCAGCCACTTCAGTCCATGTAATGATCTCACCTTCCCACCCATCCCACCCCAGGGGAGGACATCCATCACACAGTAATCTCGTGCGTGGGAAATAAACATCTCCCACCTCTAACCCTGCAGGGGACGGGACCTATGGCTTTACGTCTTATCCGAGAAGATGAAGCAATGTGAGTGAAGCGACTTACTTAAGGACACAACGTAGTGCCCCAGCCAGGACTTGAACCCCGGCCATCTGTCCCAGAGTCCAGTGCACTCACCGCTGGACCCCTCACGCCTCATAATAACATTGTAAGAATAGTATGGCAGACAGTAAGGAGAATTGCTACAAGATCTTAATAGCGGAAGGGTTATTTAATTAACTACAACAAAAGGCTCCATTAAAAATCTTGATAAGCTTTGTTTTTAAGCACCTTAAAAACAAGTTGATAATGTAATTTTACGGTGGCCAATTTACTTTATCAACTCAGATACCTTGTAATACCCCCTACTCGTGCAGCACTGACATAGTTTTTGTAGGAACTTACTCCCTTCTTTACTGTCAAAGACTCTTTCAGTATCACTCAATTTGTTCCAAAAAGGAAAAAAAAGAAAGTTGTGGTTACAAATTTTCCAAGCGAATAGTTCTCAATGGCATATTATTGAATGGACAATTAACCCCTGTTGTTTGTATGTTACTTTAGGCTGACATTGACGGAAGAGTGACAGAAAGGGTCAACAAGTATCAGGTGAGTTACTTCAATTTTGTGATGCTTTTAAGATCTTGCCATAAAAGAAAAAATTCTTAGGGGACACTGAAACTTGCTTTGAATAGCAAATTGTGTTCTTTTTACACAGCGTCATTATTCCTTGCATGGAACCATTGGCTTATCTGTTGGAGCTGTTTTCAAATCAGATGCAGTTCTCACTTTCGAGCAAACACTGCTGCAAGTGGTAAGTACAGGGCAAGACTTAATGGATTTCAATTTCGGGTTTTGTACCAACTCAATCAGTGTGAGATGTGGTGACCTGGTGACTAGTGCACAGGACTCTGGGTGGAGAGGTCTGGATTTGAGAGCTGACCAGTACACTGTGTCATGTTCTTGGACTAAGGCTAGGTATTTCTTGGCTAGGTATTTCATGCACTTAAAAATAATTGATAGGAATGAATGTCCTGTGGGGATTAGAAGAGATTTGAAAGTATTGAAGGAGAGCATTTTGACATCAGATGTATTACCCTCTTTAAAAAGAATATTGGTACCCCCCCCCCCATAACCTCTCCCTTTTATTTTTTCAAGTAATGAATAGATTTATGTTTTTCTTTTCTTTAATCAGGGAAATATTCCAAAGCTTTCTTTGCCTGAAGACACAGACCTTACACTATTAGAGACAGGGCTAACTGTTCCAGATGCGAAGTCAGTGCAAGAAAAGACAAAGTCTAGTAAGGTACTCAGCAAAAGAATGTTGTGGGAAGGGCTAATTTTAGGTATCAAATGGTTCGCATGTTCAATTTCAGATTAAGAGGTCCAGAGTGTTGTTCCTATTGTTGTTGGGCATCAGAAGTGTCACTTTTTCTTTGCCCCTCTCCACGATCCACCCAGGGTAGCAAGAATGACAGAAGGAAACAAAGTAAAACCAATGTAATCCTAGCTTTCTTTCAGCAGTCAATTGAAAATTGCTCCAACATGTACCTTTCTGAGACAGACACAAAGATGGTCTTATAAACCCTAGACTTGTTTCTTAATGTTGAAGGACGCCCTCTATATTCAACTGTATGATCAATTGATGTCAATTTTACAAATGGTTCATGTTGTGGAACCTTTCGTTCAAGTACAATTACTCACCCATTCCCCCCATAGGTTGTGAGTGAGGACCCGATTGCTGTCAGTCTGGCCAGGAAGCATAAAGTTGACATTGTAATCTCATCAAGTGGACTGAACATTCTCCTGGATAATCAGCCTCCTGATTATGGCAGGCAGTGGCAGTTGCCTGTCACTGTTCAGCGAGTACAAGGTTTGTTTAGAACTGAGCTGCTAAATAACACCAACACTTGCGAATTACAGCAAACAGTTGGTTCTTGCGTTGTCGGGATATGAAGATCGCGGAAAGTTTGGAGAGCATGAAAGATGCATTAGAAGTGCTCTGGAGGCGTAACCCAGTGCAACTCTAATATTTCTTGAAGCTTTTCCTCACGAGCAACAAAATTTGGGCTGTAACTGTTATCGGAAGGAAACACTATCTTGTTATTTCCACAAAGCCATGTTCGGTAGACTGAATTGTATTAAAATATGCAATACAGCTCCCCTTTGATTCCGGAACACGACGCATCTGATGACAAGCAAAAATGATGTTTTTTCTTTTCTTCTCGCACAGATGACCATGAAAAAATTTGCGCTCACAGAGTGGTGTTTGTGGACAAGCCTTTTCCTCCACAGAAAGTCACACCTCGTGATGTTAACGTGAAGTTTTTCAAGCGTGCCTTACGCAGGTTAGTGTGTCATAAAAACAGCAAAGAAAACAAAACAGCTGACGATGGCAGAGAAAAAACTATTAGCTCCAATGGGAGCGGCACACAAATAATGGAGGTGGAAAAAACGGCGGCCGATGTTTGTAGTGAAGAGTTTTCTTCCACCGCGGCGACTAATTCCGAAAGACGGAAGCGTCGAGTTACTGATGAAGAGAGGCAGTGCTCTGAGGTGAAGAAATCAAAAATATCTGATGGTGCCTTGAAACCTAAAGTTGAGAATCTCGACGAAAACGAGACGTGTGAAGAGTATGATGAAAAATTCTTCGTTTACAATCTGTGGAGATTCGGGAAGTTCAAAGTCTTGATACGATGCAGTGTGGATGCCTATGCAGAGCAACAAAATAAACAAAAGTGCTATACCTTTTTCAGTGTTCTCCCAAAACTCGAATACCATCCTGACTTCGGTCACGAAAAACTGTCGCACGATGAGGCTGGACGGTTTTGGCTAAACAGCTTCATCCGCCAGAATACCAGAATCGTTTGCGGCAGAATTAATGTTTACAATTCAAAACTGCTTCGAGTTGACGAACTATCCATCAACGATATTCTTCAGCAAGGGACGGGTTTTAATCCGGCACAGGGAATGAAAATGGTGTTTCAGGTTTTCCAAGCATTGAAGAGATTGCCTGAGGCTAGTTACATTCTGTCTCACAAAGCTGGAGAGATCCACGACTGTTTGTACAAAAGTGTTCATTGGCAGTCCGGGTCTGTAAAATCTTCGTATGATCTTCAGAAAACGAGGGCGCCTATTAGTGTGTTGCATTACACCGAGGGAGATATTCCCAGCGTCGCCATGGATTGCAATTTGTTCATGCCGTGGCAGATCAGTCAAAAGAGAATCCCATGCACATTTCCTCCTGTCTCGGAGAGAGAATTAGCCATGATGACAAATGCTGAGGCACAACAGATTGCGGCCGCAAATACTTCAAAGAAAAACAAGAAGAAAAGCAAAAAGGGAAAGGAGAGTAAAAAAGGAAGAAATCAGGGGCCTGCAACGAAAAAATCTAACCCGGGAGCCGGGGCTGAACAGTCATGGAATGCTAATAAGAAACGTAAACCAGTTGCCAAAGGGAAAGGGAAGATCTTTGCAACTTTTGACGACACCCAGCCGGCAGAGAAAGAGAGTGAAATCTTTGCAGTGTCCAGGCGAGCTTCAGGCGCAATTCTTTATGATGATCTTGTCTTATAAAGAGTGAAGAAAAAAGATGAAGAAAGAACAATGAAAGAAGAAAGGAGTAAAAGGAAAATTGTTAGCAACTTGTACCAAAATTACATATGATGCACGATCCTCGCAGTAGATAGCACTATTTATGCAATAGCGAAAATCAGACCTGAAAAAAATCAGCCCTGTACGGGACTCGAATCACTGACCTCTGCGATACTAGTGCAGCGCTCTACCAATTGAGCTAACAAGCCAACTGGGTGCAGGCCGTTAAGTTGATCAACCTAATTTGTACAGTTCGTATATGGACTCACTCGCATTATCAATCTTAAATCATCACCCGCTAAGCGGCCCTCACTATGAAATATGAAATTACTTGATAGATAGTACGCTTTTTTTTCCTCCTTAATGTTTTGCTGTGAAGGTTCGTTGTAGAGGGCCCCCTATACTTCTTAAGTGAAGCATGATTGGGCGATTTTTTTCTGGTTAATCGTGATTTGACTTTTTTCATTCGTGAATGGTTATTAAAGATATTAAGATCTCTTCGTGTCCACGTGAACGAATTTTTTATTCAAATGTGACCTGTGAATTAAGAGCTGAATCAAACGTGATTCGTAAATCATTTCGTTGTGCGTGATGATTTTCCGGTTATTTTACTGTTTTGAAAATGTATGTAATGCTCTTGAACGGCTGTGGTTGGGTTTTGACAGGAGCTGGACTTCATGTACATCGATAAAAGTCATAAAAGTGGGTTCTTGAACAACCGGTTCTTGAACAACCAGTTCTTGAACAACCGGTTCTTGAACAACCGGTTCTTGAACAACCGGTTCTTGAACAACCGGTTCTTGAACAACCGAGATGAGACATGACATCATCTTTTGTTGCGTAAGACTGGTCAAGATTAGAAAAATAAAATAGTAATTCAACGCAAGTATCTTGAATTTCGCGTGAACGTGAAAGAGTTTTGAATATTATTCGTGGTGCATGAAAAGGCAGAATATTTTTACGTGACTAAGTTTTACAAAGGGGTAAAAAGGACCTTCGTTATAGTTCAAGGCGGAGATTTTAGTCATCTCTGGCTGAAACACTGTGTCATCGCAAACCGCATAAAAAAACCAACCTGCATATTAAAACCCACGCAAAATTCTCAGTCCAGAAGTGAGAAAATTAACGCAAGTTTCGGTTACCAAAATATGGTCGAATCTTTATGTGTTCCAGTCTTCAAAATAAAGTTTACCAAAACGATTAAAAATTACTAAAGTAATTACTAAAACTCCACATTGTCACTTTACTGGCCGTTCATTTGCGAGACACCAAGGCTGAATATTTGTCTTTGTATCACAGCGACTAGTGCTTAATCAAAGATGTTTTCTGTGAAATTGCAGTGGCCTTGTTGTCTTTTAAGACTCCTATTTTTCATACAACTTTTTTCCCTTTCATCCTTAATCCTCGCAAGGTTTCAATTAGAACACACGATTTATGACCTCACAGTTTGCCTAGATCAGTTTACATTCTTTCAAAATCCTTTTCAAATGCTTGGCAACAGACCCACGTTATTTTCTTTTTGAAAATCAGCGACACCGATTTACAAAAGGAAACGATGTTTTGTTGGTAGAAGTCTAGGATCTGCATAATGAAGAGCTTTATTAAAACGCAGTTGACAGTACATACAACCGGATTTTCCACCACAAAGTTTATTCCTTTCCGGAGCATTTAAACCAAGACTGAACCCTATGTTTCAAACTTTGGTTTCAATAGTGCCACGACGCCGATTGAAAACGCTAATATGGCTGATGGTTGTTGTCGTATTGTTACAATCTCTTTTTTTCTTTATCGTCGACGAAGTTCGATCGAGTGACGCCCGGGTTACCAAACAAGACTGTTCTTCGACGAAAAACTCAGGTATTGTAAGAACCTTGCCCTTAGGTTAGTAGCTCCATATTCAAAATTAATAATTATATGACATTTTAGATTGGGAAATCTGAACAAAGACTTCTGTCGATATTCTTTTAATGGTAAGATGATTACGAAAGTATTCTATCTTGCTGGTTCTTCTATGTCCTACTGATAACGTAGACTGACTTTAAAATCAATCATCGTTACATACGGTTTGCCTTGGCAAAAACTTCTAGTTTAAATTTTATAATTATGATAGTGACAGGAATAAAGTGAAATATATAGCAATTTTCCCTCAAATTTTTCTGAAGGAAGTCCTTTTACTGGTAACTCAACTGTGATACAAGTCAGGGCACTTGACGAAACTTATCTTCTTTATTCATAAGTTCCCTTTCGTTTAGGAGATAATTTCAGTTTTAAAGCGAATTCTCATCGGAGGACTTTTTACTTCAGAAGGTTAGAATTTTGGTTACTATTCAATATATTTGAAGCCATCAACAAATACGAAAACCAAATGAAACTGACACGCTACCGATGTTAACCAGCTCTTAGCCATTGATAACACAACAGACAAACTCGAAAATTCTGAAAAAGATCGAAATATCGCATAGGTGTTCGAAGTTTCAGTTTCGAATCCTCCCCCAAAATTTCATTACGTTTTCTCGATGGCCATTTCTATCTCATTCTAATGCTTTAATTTGCGTCATATTGAGTTTATATTTAGTAATAATTGCTTTTGAGGAGGAGTTTTACTGAACAGCGAGAAAGTGAGCGACCCAGTGTTATACCATGAATTAGATAATTTGCTTTAGCTCTTCATCATCGTTCTGACGAATGGCTAACACTCAAAGCGTTAGCTTTATAAACTCTTTACGGTGGCCAATTACTTCAACAAAGTACTTAGTTGATAAAACTAAATTATCGTATATGAAATTCCACCAACACAGCATCGCCACCCCCTCTTTGTTTCTTTCCCTTTAATTTTTTCTCTCTTCCTTTGTTTTTTTTTGGTTTTTTTCAATATTTTTTAACTGATTTTTTTAATTATTGATCTAAAAAACCCCCAGAGATTTCCAATGAGAAGTTGACTGATCCGGCCTTTTTTCGAAGTAATCGCGGATTATTTTTACATGTGGAGAACATTCCAGTCGTAAGATCAACTGATACAGAGGAAGGTCTAGAGAATGGTGGAGCGAATTATACAGAAAAAGATGCGCAGCCGACGTCAAGAGAAAATACAGGGATTTCTCAAATAACAGCTGAACTGGCTAAAAGTAACTAAGAGTCACAAAGACCTTTCTCCACAGATGGAAAATTGAGTGATGGCGACGAATTGACTGGAGTTAACTGCAAACAATTCAGAAATAGGACATCTGTGAGTAGAGCGGAATTCTGTTACGCCCAGTAAAGATACACTTTTTCAATGATTTAAAGAACTGTATTAGATCATGATTACTTTGTATTAGATCATGATTACTTTGTATTAGATCATGATTACTTTGTATTAAATCATGATTACTTCGTTTTCAGGTAAATGGTCATCTGAACCTGCATGAGTGGCGCGGATGGTGTGGACACGCCGTTGACGATCTAAGAAGAGAACCACTATTTCCTTTTAAACCACAAGTAAGTTGAATTTGTTTGATAAGCGGTTGTAACAGCCCATAGCATGCGAAATCAGTAACTCACCTTTTGAACACTGACTTCCGGAAAGCGAGACAAGCAGTGGTCCAGTTTTAAGTGCGTCACAGTCCAGTCCGAGAAAAGTTTTGGAAGAAGTCAGTGAGTTGTGTGTCTTCTTGCGAAATGCACCTTTCCAAACATGCCCTCTTACAGGGCCTTTTTTCCACTCAAGATTAAAATAAAAGAAACAAACAAAGTTAAAACAGAAGATGAACTTCAGGTTTGTTTGTCATAATTGCGTGAACCAGTTGGTTTCAGTTTCCTACCCATCATGCATCACCGGAATAGCGATTTGAAGCTTTAAAAAGTTTTGAATTTCAGTATTTACGACGGAGTACATGTTTGAATTGGTCTGTGTACGTTTTCATGTTTTAATGATTATTTATTATTCCATTGTTTATCAGGTCAACACTGTTCTTGACAAGTTCGCTACAAATGTAACAAAAAGGTCACTGAGCGGAAATCGAATATTTGGCTACGTTCATCCTCCGACCACAGGTAAAAAAATTTTCAGGCAATGTTATGACTGTTTCCCGCGCTCGTCATTAGAAACTTCTCTGTGTGGATTCAGCTTCTCGCTGACTTCACGTTTCAAGGCACTTTATTCTTATAATTAGTAGCCAATGGTTTCCCGCCCATGTCACTGGTATGGTGGTTTATATAGTTTCCCGGGCTTTATCTGTCAAAGTTTGCCATGCTTGTAACCGGTTTTTATTGCTTCTCGTGCTTGTTGCATGTTTAATGGTTTTTCGCGTTTTCAACTAGTTTCTTTGTTTTCTTGCGCTTGTTAATGGATTCGTAGTTTCCCGCGCTTTTCACCAATTTAAAGTTCTCCCACGCTTGTCGCTAATTCGTGGTTTCCCGCGCTTTTCACCGAGTCCATGGTTTCCCGCGTTAGTCTTTACTTTATGGTTTCCCGCGCTTTCGCTAGTGGTCGCTCGTTCTCCCGTTCTGTTAAATTTGAGCTCTGCAGCTTGCTCTTGATCAATAAATGAGATAACACACTGAATACTGACTCGACAAATAAAGAAGGAAAATTAGTAACACTAATTATTTCTTCATCTCAATTTTTATTTGTGTCAACTTTTTAGGTGACTTTGTTTTCGCTATTAGCTCAGCTGACGGTTCAGAGCTCTGGTTGAGTTCAAATGACGATCCAAAAAATTCGAAAAAAATTGCCTATCTTGGAGACGTAAGTATACTGAAAATGTTTTTAGTCAAACAAAACTTTGTTACCTTTATTGAATATTTTTTTGGCAATCTCAGTCATCAGAGTAATTTCCTCTTTAGAAACACCTGCGAAGTAGAAAGCCATTTTGTTTGCTTTGGTTGCGCGCGCAGGTGAATCTATATTGCTAAGCTACCACTCGACTCTGAACTAACAAATTATCGTGTGCGAAAAGCACTCTTCGTTTATTCAGCGATTGATCTAAACAGGTCCCGTGATACAGCCAAACCTGGCCTCATGCGTGCCCTGTAGATGTTTAATCGAAGACTACTGAAATTCTAAACACTTCAGTGACAATTCCGAAAGAAGACAACAAACTGTATAACAATCCTTAATCTCACTTCTTTCAAAACAGCCTGGTAACCAGTATGGAGCCAGTACTCATTTCGGAAAGTTTCAAGTAAAGGCGTCTCAAACCTCAGAGGCCATCAGGTAAAGGATTCAAGAGGTATTTCAGTGTACTGATTTGTCAGTCGATACCAACTCTCATTAGAATCACCTGAACATTATAAGCCAATCACATTGTAGGAAACGAACAATGATTTTAGCCAAATCCACTTGTAGCAAAAGATACTCAAGAATAAGACAAGAAAAGGTGAAAAAGTTTTTAGAAGGGATTTAATGCGGGCAACTTGTAGTTGGACTCGTCAGTTTTCTGCGAGAAACCTCGGTAACAGTACCCAACCGAGTCTTATCCCGGTTTCCTCAGAATGAAGCGACTTGAAGCATTACTACTCCCCCCCCCCCCCGGGATGCCAGTCCACCACAAGGTTACCCGTCAGGATTTCATCAGGCTTCCCTGACAATTCGCTAGTACCTATTTATACTCCCGAGTGGATAGAGGCACTGTGGGAGGAAAGTATTTTGCCCAAAAGCACGACACATTGACCCAGCCAGCTCTCGAACCCAGACCTCTCGAACCCAGACCTCTCCACCTGGAGTCGTGCACTTTATCACTGAGCTACACGTACCGCCTCTCATCCTCTTTATGAGCGGTCGCACTGTAATTATTGAGCTGGATTTTCTCTCTGTCCCTTCCAGACTTGAAGCGGGAAAAGCATATTATGTGGAGGTTCTTCAAAAGCAAAAGTATAACCAAGATCACGTAGAAGTAGCGGTAACTAAAAAACAATTGTCTACTGCTCTGTATGTTACTGGAGACCTTTAAGATCCCAGTCGAGTACGACTGCTAGAGTTTGTAATTATTTAAGAGTACAATGAAGCTTCACGAGGTAAACATTTTCATTGATCTTAAAAAAGCCTTTGACACCGTTGACCACGACATTTTACTTGATAAGCTCAATCACTATGACTTTCGCGGAATAATTAATGATTGGTTCTCCTCATATCTCAAAAATCGCACCCAAACAAGACAAGTAGGCCATCATATATCAGATAAAGCTGTCGTTGGATGTGGCGTTCCTCAGGGATCAATCCTTGGACCGTTGCTCTTCTTGTTATATGTCAATGATATTCACAGATGCTCGAACAAATTCAGGTTCTACCTATTTGCAGACGACACTAACATACTGTATACAGAAAAAAATCTGAAAGATCTTGAGACAATAGTCAACATTGAGCTACAAAACCTTTATAACTGGTTGACAGCTAACAAACTAACTCTTAACATCAAGAAATCCAATTTTGTAATTTTTCATCCCTTTCAAAAGCGACTTGCTTACCAACCAAAACTTTACATGTTTGATAATGATAAGAATAAGTATACTTGTCTCGAGTCTAAAGTCTACACAAAATACCTGGGCGTACTTATTGATCAGAATCTTTCATAGAAATATCACATTGATTCCATTGTAACAAAAATTAGTAAGACTATCGGGTTAATTGCAAAGTTACGCCATTTTGTACCCCGACTTGTACTACTGAACATCTAT